CGAGGTACAATTGATCATGGAATTAATTACAAAAGGGGTTAAAATTCAACTCTGGTCGGATATAGTGATTGGGAAGGTAGTGGAGATGATCACAAAATTACTTCTAGTTATGTCTTTAACATTGGTTCAGGTGCCGTATCTTGGGCATCGAAGAAGTAACCTGTAGTAGCACTTTCAACTACAAAAGCTGAATATATTTCTCTGTCCACAGCTAGTTGCCAAGCACTATAGTTGAAATGGGTATTAGAAGATTTGAAATATTTTTAGGTGAAAGATACTATTCTGTTTTGTGATAATAATTCAGCAATTGCACTTAGCAAGAATCCTGTTTTCCATGGCAGAAGTAAGCATATTAGAATCAAGTGTCACTTCATTAGAGATTTAGTTAAAGATGGAGAAATTGTCGTCAAACATTGCAAAACCCAATATCAGTTTGCAAACATTTTTACAAAAGCATTGGAGTTAAAAAGTTTTATCAAATTGAAAGAGAAACTTGGAGTTGCATAAGTCTAGCTTAAAGGGGGATGTTGGAAGATTAATCTAGACTTGTCCAAAATGTTCTAGCAATTAAAGGAGTTGCATAAGTCTAGCTTAAAGTCATCTAGTAGTTGAAGAATCTCATAATAATTGCTAGTACATAGAACATTTTGGTTCATTATATATATTAAATTAATGTATTAGAAGTATAAATAGGCGAGTCATGTAAGAGTATAACAGACACAGACAATTGAGCAATACAAGATATAAGGAAGTGAGTGTTTGTGAATTGTGTTTTTACTAATTCAGTTGAATACATGTGAGTACATCCCATTTGTGTTCACTTGCCCACCAACTCTAACAAGAGATACCATTTGCAAGAATATAGGAGAAGTCGTAGAGCACCGATGCATCATGAGGAGCTTTTAAACTTTAGACATTTGTCTCTTCGGAATGTTATTGAGCGTTATTTTGGTATTTTAAAGACAAGATTTTCTATATTGAAATTAATGGTAGCTTACTCCATAGATGTGTAAGCAAATATTGTGATTTCATGTTGTGCAATTCATAATTATATTAGGATGGAAACATGTTTAGATATGGAGAAGTGGACATGGAACCTAGGATGTGGGGGTCAATACCTCTAAAGCTCCTGTTGAGATCAATGTTAAACAAGTTGAACTTTGACATATGAGTGAATTTCGTGATTCAATTGCTGATGAAATATGGAATCGCCATATAATGCTTCAATGAAAATGTTGTTATATATATATATATATATGACTGATGTTTTATATACTTTCTGTCATGAACATGATTGTTTTGGGGCTGTGAGGGAAACAATATCTGAAATTTTGAGTTCATTTGTGTCTTCCTAGTTGCTACGATATCTTGTGGATATATACTATAATTATTAATCAACTTGTTTGATACAATGACTTGACCACTTTTCAAAATTGATGAAAAAGTGTGTCAATCAATATCCTTTATTTAATGAAAAAAAGTATATTAAATATTTTTTAGTTTATCAAACAAGTTTATATACATTTGTTTTATTTATTGTGTTGAATTTTTAAAAGTAATTTAAGTTTAACAAACATATTTTTTTGTTTATTATTTTTAAAATAAGTTAAACTTTTTTTCGTTAGCTGCATCTGTTTATCAAGAAACACAATATTTATGATAAACAACAAACAAAAAGGTTACCAAAGGGGCCCTAAGTAATGTGGCCGCTTATGGTTATTAAAATAATAATAATAATAAAACTCTTTTAGTACAGGGCAAATTGCAAAAATAATTCCTTTGATTATCATTCACTTGCAAAAAAACCCTTATGAATACTTTTAACAAAAAAAACCCCTCAACTATACTGAGGGTTATTTTAACTTAAGACGGTATAATGATTTTTTGAGGCAAATTGTTAGTCCAAATTACCCCTCAACATTGTGAATTGTGTCATGAAAAACTTGCGAATTTGGCAATCCGACCAAGCCATTCAACCTCTCTGTTCGTTCTGGTGCTGCAGTAAGGTTTCGATAATAGATGTGAGAGATGTTGTAGTGGTGGTATGGAGAGAGAGAAAGATGGGAGTGGTGGTGGTGGTGTTGAGAGAAAAAGTTGGGAATAGAAAAAATACTATTCATCTTCTTTTTCCCATCTTAAAAAATAAATTTCTTACAAACTTAACATCTCTCTCCCTTTACTGTTACACCCAAACAAAAAAAACTAGGATGATGGATCATCCCCCCTTACCCAACAAGGAATATTGCTGGTATCAGCTTGGAACACCTATAGAACCCACGCACACATATATACACAAATACAAACACTATTCATCTTCTTCTTTGCATCCTTCTCATAAAAAAATAAAAAAAAAATTCTTGCCCAACCTAAACTTTCTCTATCTCTTTGTGTGTATTTATATAACGTGTGATTATGTAAGAATTACATATTGTTCCCGAAAAATCAAAGAATTTCCAGAAGAAGCATTTGTAGGAGAAGAAACAATTGATCAGCAACAAGCGGGTTTGAATGAAACAGAGGGTTTAAAACCCAAATTCAAGAGAGTGAAACCTAAACAGAACCCTCACTACCCTCCGCCGACTCCCTCATACTCCTCATCAGAACCCTAACTCTGCCGGAGACACACCCCTTTTTCGAATATGTGTTAATCTTAAATTCGATCTCATTCTTGGTTTTGATCGAGAATTTTAATCTCCAAGAACCTAGCAGAACAGCGATTTCTGAACTTATTTGTGTAAGCAAATCATCACCTCTGAAATCAGATCTCCAGTATTGTATACTTATATTGTATTTGAGACGTGTTTTGATTAGCTCTGAAAGAGCTTTGACCTCAGTTACACGCGCTTCAAATCGGTTATTTTAGGGGTATATTTATATATAATAAATTCATACCAAAAAATAAATAAATAAAGGAATAAGAAGAAACAGTAGGTTGTTTAATCGTTTAAAAAAACTAAATAAATGGGCTGAAAAAAAAATTAAATAAATAAAAAAAAAACCTCAACTATTCAATAAAGCCATCAAACCCAAGATGAGAAATGAAAATTTCAAAATGAATAATTTTAAAATTCTAAAAAGAATCAGAACAAAATTTTAAGATCATGCATAAAAATCGAGAAGAAAACACACCTGAGTTCGTTGGGTGGAGAAAACAGGAAAAGAGAGAAAGACGAGAGTAAAAGAGAGTAAATCCGGATGTTCAAAATGAAACGTTACAGGTTGTATTTGGGGAGAGAGAGTACATTGTGGAGAGGGAGTTCGTGAAAGTACAATAAGTATTTTGTGCATGTGGCTAATTCTAAGTGTATTTTGTGAATGTCACCACCGGTATATGTTGCATTATCTTTCGGTTCGAAAGCAAAGCCCTGAATTTCAAAAATTTTATTTCCTTGACATAATTATAGATCTAAATTACTTCTAATTTTTAGAAGTTTGAATACATAGATGTGAAAATTGGTTTTTTTTTTTTTTTTTTTTTTTTTTTTTTGATAAGTGTGTGAAACTAGGTTATTTGGAAACACATTTTTAGCTTAGTGTCATAGGCTTAGAGTTTCAGCACCACTCTAGCTACTCCCATGCGGCACCAAGACGTTGCTTCTACTATCGCAAGTACTTGGTCAGCCTAACTCCCGTTCCCACCTTAGCCAACGCACTTCGCTCATGAGCTTACTAGTGTTGTAGTGGCCCTCGCCTTCTCCTTACTTGGCTTGCACACTCACACACACTAAGACACTTAAGTTGGCAAGGAAAGAACACTTATATTACTTTAAAGAATGTTTTGTACAAGGCTAGCACTCAAACTCTCTACAAGGCTCTCAAGACTCACTCTAGGACTTGTTGTCTACAAAATGAAGTCCCACTCCTATTTATAGGCATCCCCATCCCTAATGGATTGCTAGGATGCATTCTAACCGATGGTGGAGATCGATTTTCTAGAATCTTCTTCCACCTTCTTCACACTTCCATATATAACACTACAAGTATCTACAACATTCTAGAACTCTCCATACTACTCCACACAATTCTAGAGAATTCTAGAACCTTCTACACACTTCTACAATATTCTACACATTTCTACATATATCTAGAATCTTCCACACAACTCTAGACTACTCCGGAAGACTCTAGAAACTCCCATGCCATGCAGTCGCCATGCAGCATCCTACTCACTGCCTGCGTGTCGCCTACGTGGCGTAACCTCCATGGGTGGGGCGTGACATTATCCCCCACCCATTTCCATGACGCCCTCGTTACGGTTTCTTCAGCTGACCCAGCCTTTCACAGGTCATCAACACTTGCACATATGTCCTTGGCCCAAACGTACTTGCGTTGTTCGGGAGATGTGAGGTCCTCACGAGCTCCATCGTGTTGAATGCCACCTCTGGACTCTCCTTCCTGCCCATTAGTGGCACTATGCATGCTGTTTTGCCTTCCTCGCCTCCAAGTATCATCAACGCACCAAGGCATGGTAGTGGCGCGGCATTGTTCCTGTCCATGAACTCTAGCCCCAGCACCATGTCGTGGTCATCCATCTCCGCAACCTGGAAGTCGGCCTTGCCCTTCCAACCTTGCATGCATAGCTCCACCTCCTTGCACACTCTACTCACGCATGCCTCCTTGGAGTTGACGGCCTTGATCCAACCCTCTGTCTTGCGCATCTCCAAGCTAAGTCGATGCGCCTCCTTCGGGGTAATAAAGTTGTGTGTGGCGCCTGTGTCCACCAATGCTTGCAAGGCTTTGCCACCAACCTGCGCATCCATATAGCACACCCCGGCTACCTTCTTCGCCTTGCCCTTCTTCTTGGTATCATGTACCATGCTGCTCAGCATCTGCATAGCCCCCATGCACCTGTCTTCGTCACTGCCCGCATCGTCCATCTTACCCTTGCCCTTATCCTTCATAAGGGCGCTCATGGTCTTCTTACTGGGGCAGTGTCGCAATATGTGCGGCCCTTCGCACAAGTAACACTTCAGCTCCCACTTGCCCTTGTCGCTGCTCTCTCATTTGCCACTAGCCTTAGACCTCTTTCCATGGTCCTTACTCTTGTCATGGCGTGGGCGTCTCTCCTTATCGCTATGCTCATCATTACTGGACTTGGGCGAGCCCCCTTTCTTAGAGCCCCGGTCTCCCCAACCTTTACCGTGGTCCCTCCTGGGAGACATGGCCCTCTTATCATCGCGCCTAAAGTCTTTAAGGTACTCTACTATAGCCATTGTGGATGCCAAGTCTCTAGGCTCCCTCCTCCTCAGCTCTATGGCCACCCAAGACTGCAACCTATCAATGAACAAGCACACATGTTGCCGCTCCAGCATCTCTGGGATCTCTAGCATCAAGTTGGAGTACTCCTTCACATACTCCCTTATGTTGCCCTTCTGCTTCAGGTGCCTTAAGTTGATCATGGTGAGGTCATCGACGCACTCGGGGTAGAACTGCCTCTTGAACTCCTCCCATGTGTCAACCGCTTTTGCGCCCCTACCAGTGAAGTGATGCCTCCACCATAGAGCGGCGGTGTCCGTGAGGTACATGGTGCCGGTCTGCACCTTCTCTTCATCATCCTCGATCTCCATACACTCGAAGTACTGCTCCATGTGCCAGAAGAAATTATCAATCAAGCGCGCGTTCCTTGCCCCATCATACTCCTTGGGCTCCGGCGCCTTCTTCTTCCTTGGCTTCACCACGACCTCACGTGCCTAGGAGAACTCTTGGTGGTGATAATAGAGAATAGCGTGAGCACATTCACAGTCAAAGAACACAGATTTTTGTATAAAAAAATGAGTTTGTATCATCTATAAAATAAAATAAAAAAATTTAAACAAACTTCTAACAAAACTCAACATACCGAGATGAGAGAGATGAGGAAATAGACAGAGAGCTTAGGGAGAATCTGGACAGAGAGAAGAGAATCCGAGAGTGGAGAGAGACGCGATGAAAAGAGAGCTCGGCCCCTTCGCGAAGAACTCGCCGAAGTGAGAAGATCGATTTGAAGCCCTACGTTGTGCACCGTGTAGGAAAGCCAAAAGCATCGTCGATTTGCAGCACGGGAATCGCTTCTGGAATCACCTCCGGAATCGCCACATAAGAGGGCAGAACAAACCCTAGCTATTGTTGCAACTTTCCTTTTATACCTATGATGGGTTGGGCCATTTTGTTCCTTTCGTTACGGTGACTTTTGTAGCCCAAAAAAACTCAAAACAAACGAGAACACCAAAATGGTGTTTCAACTTTGGATCCAAAATTCTAGAGTGTTTTAGTACTGTTAAAAACAAAACAAGCTGGCCTAAACATGTTTTGTTCTCAAAATGGGCAACTGTAGCAGGTCTGAAACATTACAAAACAAAACAGAAAACTTCCGAATCAGGCCTTTAGCTTCCATCTTCTTCTACTTGTCTTCGTCGGTTAACAACTTCATATGTTGCTCTCTCTCCAAAATGTAGTCTTTTACATTAATAATGGTCTGTGCAATTATGATTCATTTGCTTTTTTAGTGTTCAATTTTAGTAACTAATTTATTTATTTATTTATTATTATTATTTTGTTCATTTGGTTGCTGTGAATATGTTACAGAGTATATATTAATAAAGGAATTTTCCAATTGAGCCTAATTTGGCTCAATTGGCATGCTTCATCTCTGGAAACAAAAATTATACAAACATGACAATCAAATTTTATTTTGATTTTTGTTCTACTCATCACATATTCCATCTCACCCAAATACACTATTTAAAGACATGAAGATGATAATGAAGTATATATACTATTTGGAGTTACCTTTCACTTCTCATAGCATTTTACTAGAGACTCTGTAATAAATAAAATTGATAGAGAGAGAAGAGAGCAGAGCGAGAGACAAACGTGTGAGAGAGAGCTGCTAGAAAGAGAATCGAGGGAGGGGCAATTTTGGGACACAAAAAGTGTAATTTTGGTATTAAAGAGGATTTTGAAGTCACAGGCACATGCCTCTCCAATACAATTTTTCATGTTAGAAGTCCTCTTTTGTACACTTTTCATACCACACGAGAGAATTTAAACACGGGTGTTATTTGTACACTTTTCAAATTTTCAGGGTTTACTGTACCACACCTTAAAAAACTGCTCAAAGGAGCATGAGTCAATTTGGAATTTCTTTCTCAATGATAAAGAATGTAATTAGCAATGGAAATAAAAGTTCTCACAGTATATGTGTGTAATTTATATATATTCTGTACTAAGAATAATCTGGGGTATATACAGCATAAGGAGAGCCAAGCAATGCCCAAATTCTGTGTCAATGCTATAATTTTGAATTCGACTATAATGTTTGGTGTGCAAAACTAATTCTACATTGATTTATCTGTTACACTGGAATATATATATATTTGAACAATATTTGATATGATAAATGCAACCCATCAATTCTTTTATTTCAATCCTTCTTTTTAGGGTAGAATATCAGCATCTTATTGATGTATTTCATTGAAACAATACAACACGAAAAAGGTAGATTGATTATGGGGAACAGAGAAAAGAAAGCAAAATGTAATTCGGCTATTTATATCGACTACTCACCAAAACCTTGGTCTTTTTATGCATTGGTATGGTAGTAGTTCAACTTATCACATTACACTTGTGATTACTTTTATGTTATACCTACTACTTTTTCTCTTCCCTTTAAACGCCCGCCTCTTTTACTCCATTATACTTAATTGTGGTTGCACTACGTACCAATCTTACCTAGTCTTAATAGTTTAACAACTTCCTATCCATTTCTCACTATTTGCCCTATGTTGCTGCCCCACACCCCCCTCTCTCTCTCTAGATTTTTTTCTCTCTCTACAGGGTTGAACTAATACATTTTGTGGCTTAATAGTTGTATATATTTGGTGCATGAACAAGTGACATGTATACTTGTTCATCAACTGCCACTATTTCATGATTCCATGCGCGCGCACAGTCACACACACACACACATATTTATTTCATGTGTTAGGTTTGCAGATATGTATGTATATAATGTAGTATAAATCTAGTATACATTATAGAATCCTTGTCCAACTATATAATAGGAGTTATAATTTAATTAATGTACTGAAGAACATTTATTAATGTATCGTGGCAGTCCAATACTGGGCATGTTATAGTACTGGTAAGTTCCACCACATTGTTGGTTGAGATGGGGTTGTCGACCCATTTAAAGTGCCAGCTATAGTTTCCCCACATGCTACTCCCAAATGAACTCTCGCAATAAACGAACATACATGTATATATATATATATATATATATATATATATATCATCCACTTTCGTTTCTCTGAGATTAATTAATTAATGATGTTGTACATGCAGGCCAACAAAATGGGACCAGACTTTCTAAACCAGTGCAATCACAATTTGATGGATTCACGTGACATCTGTACGGGCATCTAACGTGGAGGTTGAGGAGTTGGATCAAATGTCGTAACAGACCACTGTGCTGTATAGCTATGCACGACAACTTATTCGTGTGATCATGAGACATGTAGAAATGGTCTTGATTGTCCAAAGCAAACTCATTGATTAAATGTGGATGTTATTCAATGGGCAAGTCGCCTGAAGTCAGGATCATATTTTTTTGATAAAAAGTCAAGAATTCAAATTTCAGTATAAGCATGCGTAAATACAAATTAAAAACAAATAAAAATTTTGAATATTATCTTGTGATTCAAAACATATTTTTCTTTCTATTTAAAATTTATTTTCATAAATGGCATACATTATCATTATTATGATTATTATTATTATAGAGAGAGACAGAGAAAGCAAGAGTACTAAAAGCTTACAAATTAAAGATATATGACTATATAAATAGGAATATAGTTTTTGATGAAAAAATATTTTAAATTATTACTCCGTATTATCATTTTTTTAAAACCGTATATCAATTTCACAACACACAGGAATGTTACGTCGAGCATCCTATTTGACATCTCCAAATTTAGAAGATGATATATAATTGCTCTTCTTGATAATATCAATGACTATATCAAGAAGATAATGGCGTTAAACTTATATCTATAAATTAATAAATATATAATTATATATACTCTCTCTCTCTCACACACACATATATATAAAGAGGCTCTAGGGGTATAATGGCGTTGATAAGGTTTCGGGAGGTAAATCTTTGAAGTGTTGCTTTCGAATCGCACTCTTAACTTAAATAGCATATGTATTGTAGGATCGATATACATACTTCAAGAATATATATATGTGATCGATATACATACTTTAAGAATATATATATATATGAAGAGAATATTTTGGGCATGCCACTTGTTTGACTTCTCTGAAAATAAATCTTAAGAAACTGCTCAAAGGAGCATGAGTCAATTTGGAATTTCTTTCTCAATGATAAAGAATGTAATTAGCAATGGATATAAAGTATATGGGTGTAATTTATCTATACTCTGTACTAAGAATAATCTGCGGTATTTTATTTGCCCATTTCATGACAAAATTAACAGCTCAAGAATTGACTTAATTTGTATTTTCTTTATCAATGAACAATTGGCAATAATTGTGTCATTGCCAATGATTCCTAAGACCAACCATGAATAGTATTACCCTCATTTGAAGTTGATTGTCGGCACATGTTCCTCCATAAACAGCTCAAATGATAATCATCAGCCAAATGATAGAACGACCAAAAAAAAATCCTTTTGGTGTACTACTACTCTCATTGTCCATCAAATATTTTAAGTCCTTAATTAAAATATATGATTTTAATTATGAAATCAGTGTGTGTCCAAGGGGCACATGTCCCCCGCTCCCCTGGCCCCGCCCTTTGTGTGTGTGTGTGTATATGTGTGTGTGTGTATATATATATATTATGCCCTTAAAATTATTAGTTTTTAGAACTTTTTTTATTTTTTCTCTTACTCTTTAAATTTTTTTAATTATCTTTTTTAAAAAGGTTAAATTTTCCTTATTTAATTATGCTCTAATTTGTTTTCTTCAAAATTCTTTTATATTTCCCTTTTCCTTCTTTTTATTCTTATTTAAAAAATAAAAATAAATAAAAAAAAAAAAAAATTTGGACACCATTCCTCCTTGAATTCAAATCCTATTTCCCTATTTAATTATGCTCTAATTTGTTTTCTTCAAAATTCTTTTATCTTTCCCTTTCCCTTTCCCTTTTCCTTCTTCTTATTCTTATTTAAAAAAAATAAATAAATAAATAAAATTGGACACCATTCCTCCTTGAATTCAAATCATAACTCCGCCCTTGTACGTACATATACACAAATATATATATATATATATATATATATATATATATGTGTGTGTGTGTGTGTGTATATTGCATGCATTTAATATTAAGCAAGACTAGTGCACTCCTTTAGCTGCATTTAAAAAAAAAAAAAAAAAAAAAAAAAATCAGAGAACTTTATGATAAATTGTTTAATGATTGATTATATTTCTAAACCAGTTTCAATTACAACGTGTATTAGTGCCCATTAAAAGTCATTAAACCTTTTTGGATTATCTGAAAATTCCACAACGTTTTGAATAGGTGAGAGAAACTCAATTCGATTGACAATTGCTTGAATGATTACTCTAATCCATTTTGATGTTAGAAAGAATAATAAAGCATACTCTGATGGGATCATACACCTGTTATGCTTGAGTGCATGATTGACAATGCAAAGGTATTCCAAGTATATACTTCTATAGCAGCAAGAGGGCCCACTAACATGAAGTTGTGTGTGCGTGACAAATTCAACATATTTTCCAACGTGTCCAGTATACATGGCATATCTTTTCTTATTGGAATTCATTGAATCAGATTAAATGACAAAAGCTATGCAAGTGTGTGAGATGAGTTGGCCAAACAGCAATGGGTCTGATAAACAACCCACAAATGCACATTCACAAAACTACTCAAAAGGAGACTGATTAGAAAGGAGTGGGGTTGTTACAAAAGTTCCATCTATATAGTAATAAAGTATATGTAACTTTAATATTTACATATCCATGAAAAGTGGATAGCAGGTTTGGTTTTCTAAGAACTCTTGGTTGAGAATGAGATACAGTCATGTTGAGAGGTTGAGAAGGAACTGTCACATTCACATTCACATTCACATTCAAGATCCTCAAAACCCCAAAATTCTTCTTGGTCTTCCTCTTCCTCCGGCATTTTCCATTTCTCTGCACTCATTTCTCCTTCCACAATTATTTCCAACACCTGCCAATTCAAAGCAAAACCACTCATGTTTCAACTCCATTTGATATATTACAAAAAAATAAAAATTAAAAAATTAGATTAACTTTTTTTTTTTGGTTAAAAGAGCGTATATGAACCTTGTTTTAATGTATTTGTCATGTTGAGCATAGATGTAGTGGAACCAATAAATCAGCATAGTTGTTGTAGCAGATAACATCTTTCCAATCATGCAAGCAACATAGGCTCTAACATAAAACAACATTCTGAATTGACATGATTTATATATAAGTCAGTTTTCACTATTATTTTGGTTATCGTGTTGTTAATCATATCCTAATCTTTTAATCACATGGGAGCTCAATATTATATGTATGCCTATTACAGCATAAAGATTTAGGGTTAGGTAGGATAGACCATCGACTGACTAATCAAAATTGCGTGATAGAAAACCCATAGGCAACCCCATCAACACCAGAAAAGAACAGATCCATGTTTGCTGTCCTAACTTCTGAAAATGATATTTAAAGTCATTACTCATTAAGGGCAAACTAGCAAATATTCAGAAGATGACAAATGATACTTGGTACTATAATAAACACTACAAAAGTTCGTATTAGCCGAAACTCATCCGGTTCATAGTTTGTTTAATGCCCTTTGGCAGGTCAACTAGGAGGGTTCTATTCCATGAAAATACTTTTATTAGTTGAGCTCCATTGGAATAATCAAGACGACACGGAAATATGAAATCATGGTCAGCTGAGAAAATTTAGGGATGGTTAGGTGAATTGCCAAATAAAAATGGCACAACACTTGCCTAATTGAGAAAATGACTTGCACTTGAGAAAAAAGGTCAATATATCTGTAAGTGGGATTTCCTAATTTTGAAAAAAAAAAAAAAAATCGAGGGGAGGTTGGATGCCATTGTGGGAGTGAGTACAGTTCAAACAAAGAGAAGAAACAAAAACTGGAAAAGAAATGAAAAATAATATAAGTACTATTCATTTTTTAACATATCATTGAAATGAACAACTTTAACTTTGTCTTCATTTGCATATTATGTTAATTAACCATTATTTATATAATCTCCACTATTGAAATGAACAACTTTAACTTTGTCTTCATTTGCATATTATGCAAATTAACCATAATTTATATAATCTCTACATTGAGGATTGACTAGATATATTCAAATGCAATATAAAACATAATTGATTTTGCAATTTCACTGGACATTATACTTGGTAAGAAAAGATTGAAGATAGCATATAGTTGACATAGAGCACAGTAGTTTAGCTACCTCACTCATGGTAGGGCGCCACATGGAAGATGATCGAATGCAGAGAGATGCGGCAAAGGTAAGTCTACTAAGCTGCATGACATCATAGGCCCCTCCAAGCCTCGGATCGACCAGCTTTTCAATCTCCCCTTGGTTCAGAATTGGCTTGGCCTGTTAAAATCATAATTGACAATTAAAAATGTAAACGGAAATATGAAACCATTTATTAAATCACTTCGTTATCCTATTCCAAATGAAGATTCTCTAAAGAAAGATTGCAATTTCTTAATACAACCAAATTCGAAGATTTTGTTAGGATGTGCCATACCCAGCTATGCAAGCCTTGGTGAGACCCATCAACTGGTTTCTTGCCTGAGATGATCTCCAGTAGAAAGACTCCGAAAGCAAAAACATCTGTCTTCTCATCCACAATCCCATGCATAAAGTACTCCGGTGCCAAATGACTGCACAATTGTAGCATTTCCACTATCATAATGATCACGCCACAAAACAAATTCAGTACTTAGAATTTAAAATTTTCTCAAATTGAAAAATACCCAAATGTCCCTTCAATTGGAATGATTGAATGATGAGTCCATTGAGATGGAAGCCATTTCGCTAATCCAAAATCGGATATCTATAATAGTGAAACATACAATTAATGTCATCAGACTTGATCTATTTTGGAATAAATATTGAAGAATTATAAGTCTTATTTCCTTTTCCTACAATTTCACAGCAAATTATTGTGAAAACAAGTGTACCTGTGGTTCAAAATCTGCAGCCAAGAGGATGTTGGTAGCCTTGATGTCCCGATGAATTATCCTTCTTGGACAGACTTTGTGCAAGTAATGGAGGCCTCGAGCCGTTCCAAACCCAATCTTGAACCTCGTTTTCCAATCCATTGTTGGCAGATTTTCATCTACAACATGAAATTTAAAGCATAAAACTTCAAAATACTTAAAAAAATAACAATAATAATAATAATAAAACCAGAAATAAAACAACAGTGCTATTTATATTTCTCGTAGACACAGTTTCAAATACCATGTAGTAGAGAAGCCACAGAGCCTCTGGAGGAGAACTGGAAGATGAGATAAAGGCCATTGTCAATACAACAACCTAAAAGTGATGTCACATTTGGGTGGCAAACATGGCCTAATGCTCCAATCTCTGTCAAGAACTCCTTCTCTTTTCTCTCATCACTAGATGCTTTTGTCAGCCTCTTCACAGCAATTGCCTGACCATCTTCTAATATTCCTCTGTAAACCTCTGCATACCCTCCTCTCCCAACCAAATTCTCTGATACCCACATCACAAAAATACAAGTAACAACAAATTTATTATTATTTTTTTAAAAAAAAAAAAACCAAAAAATTTCAAATTGTATTTACTACCCAAAACAATATCAGATTTAAAAATACCCAAAAAAAAAAAAAAATCAAAATTTATGTACTAACCAAAACAATATGAGATTAAAAGCCTAATAATTTAAATGATTTTGTGATACCCATTTGAAAAGAGACCTAAGAAGTTGAAATTTTCTTTGAAATGAGAGTGAACCTGGGGTGAAACAATTGGTGGCATCAGAGATTTCTTCATAGGAGAAGCATTTCCAAGTGGGTCTCTGAGATGGCTCTGTGAATGTACCAATCTTTAAGGCTCCATTGTTGTCTTCTTCAGTGGAATCAGCTTCTTTTGGAAGTTCTTCGGTAGAATCGCTTCGGCGTTTGATTGAAAAGAGCCTTTTGAAGCTACCTGTCCGTATATATTTCATTTTTGGGTAGAATTTTCACCTTAGTTCTAATTTATACAGAGGGCCAAATATGAAGAACATAGTGAAATACCACTAAAAGTGAAGAGAACAAGACAGAGGAGAAACTGAGAAAGTATCAGAAGACATTGAAACTCTCTCACACATACACCTGTAAGGATTAAGGAGACATTACAGAGAGAGAGAGAGGAGTCAAATGGGTCTCTGTAGTTGTGTGTGTATATGACAAATTGCTCGTGATGGAGTCCGTTAGCAGGTCTTAAATGCTTGTTTCGATGCGGAATTTCTGTTCAATTCACGCATTGCCATATATTATAAAAATATTTTATATTTATATATTTATACGTATGTATTACACATACTTATATTTTTTCTCTGGGTGTATATATTAATATTATTTTTTCTTTTTAATAAGTATGACCCGGTATTATGTATTCTTTAATGTATAAAATATATTAATATTCAAGATAACACTGTTATGAACAAATATATATATATATTATAATCTATTAAGTGAATTACATGAGAATATTTGAAGAAGATATAAACGTATTCACGATAACACTAGTTATAACAAAAATAATAACAATAATGTATAAATTAGTAAGTGAACAAAATGAGATAAAAAGAATATACAAGTTATATTTAAAAAGAGATGATCATATAAGCGTGTTAGCTTAGCGGATCACTTCAGTTTCCTCCATTTGACATTCCCGAGTAATGATATTAGAATGAAGAAAAAAGCAAAATTGTTAGATTTACTATATCTACTTGATTTATGGATGTCAAATATAAAAAAGTGAAAGGTGACCAAATATAAAAAAGTAAAACCCTTCACTTCATTATTTAATTCATTAATGACTAATTAGATATAATTGTCTTGATTAAATTTGATTTAAGTATAATCGTATAATGGACATTTATATCATTTAGTTTAAAGAAATTTAAAAAGAAATACATTTATAAAAATAAAATAATAATAATAGGGGAGTACATTTATTATTTCACTATTTGAAATTCTTCCACAATTCTTATTAAATACAATTTTTTTATTTTTTTTTTATTTTTTTTAAAGTAAAATGAAAAGCAAATCAAATAAAAATCGGGTACAAACTTGGGACGGCTATATGATTGAGCCTTATTTGACAGTAGAAAAACTCTCTGATCAGGGTTTTGACCCATAAGAAAACTTAGGATACAAATTTATTGGAGATTAGAATACCAAATACATTTGATTATTTGAATACTACTCTGTTGATTGTATAATTTGTTAGAGATTAATGAACTTGACCCCCTCGTCAAAATTGGCACCAGATGCACCTGAGATGGGAATCTATTCGGTTAGGTGAATTGGACAATAGATAACATTGTTGTTCTTGTCTTGTGTTCCAACCCCAGTTGTTATTCCAATCTTCACTCCCTTTTCTTCAAAATTCTTTATTTCCTGGCCATGACTATCCAAATTTGATGTTCACTTTTAAGGTAACCTTAATTTGACATTCATTATATATGCATGTGTTTGATTCACACTATTTATATAATAAAGGAAAAAGTGCAGAAAACACTCTTAAAGCATGTTTACAGTGCATATCACATCCTTCACGTGCAAAAACACCCCTAAAATTTTAATTTGGTACAAATAGGTCCCTTTGACAAATTTAAACTCTAAGAGAACTAAATTACCCTTACTCAACCATTTTATATAATATATAAAAATAAATGATTTTGTAAAATGACTGAAAATGACACTATAGTATTGGAGGATGCCCTTATTGTACAAAAAAAAACACCACTAAAGTTTCAATCTGGTGCAAATAGGTTCATCTGACAAATAAAAACCCTAAATTGCGTAAATTACAAATAATTTTATAAAATAACATAAAATGACACTATTGGAGGACGCCGGCAATGGACAAATAAATATAAAAATATAAAATAAAAGTAAAGATAAAAAAAATAAAAATAAAGTGCAAATTAAAGAAAACAAATTTTTTCTAAACTTCGAAAACCAGCGCACACTAATATTGGGATTTCTTTTTTTCTTTTTTTTAATAGTGTTGGTATGAAAAAATAAAATAAAGAAAAAAAAAATTGTAGAAAGGAATAAACTGGAATCTCAAATAATTAAAATCCTTGTTCTACAAATTCTCAAAGTTTTTTTTTTAAAAAAAAAATGTTTAGAGATTTATATAGAGAAAAAAGTTTCAAAAATATATATATGTATAAAGTAATGTGCACATAACACCCCTGTACTATGAGATTAGTAGCATATATACTCCCTTGGGCATTTTCGAAAAAGTAAAAGGGCAAAACGGGTATTACAATACTAATTTATGTCAGATGGAATATTTTTGCATAATGTGAAAAAATTATAGATGTTTTTTTTGCATACTTTTTCAAATGAGTAATGTTACTGTGAGCGCGCGCCCGCAGTAGCACCAACGAGCTCTCGATCTACGTCGTCGGATTCAAATGGCTTAAGATTAGGAATAAAACAAATGTTTTTTTATTTTTTTTTCTCTCCCCCCTCGAGCTCTGTGTTTTCTCTAGCTTCATTTTTTTTCATCTTCATTACTTCCAGCGAAGAAAAGAGAGGAGAGCAAGAAAACGGCGGCCAGGATCCTCCTTTTTCCAACGAGGAGATGGCGGTGAGCAGAAAGCCCACTGCGATTCAACCACATCCAAGCACTGCCGACGTTCATCCATAGCCCATCTTGCCCACTATTCTGTCAATCGCCGGCGTGCACAAGCCGCCGTCCTCTCCTCACTTTCTCTCTCCTACCCATCTCAGTTCTCCAACTTTTCCATCATATCAATTTTCAAGGCTGATCTCACCCATCTTTGAATCAAAAAACAAAACGCAAAACCATCACCACCCATAACCGCAATCAACCCAAAACCTGATCCGAAGAACTGAAATCCATCACCACCGATTTTTGTTTTCAGTTTTTTAATTTTTACCCATCGCTGTTTGGAAGAAAAAAAAATATTGTTTTCTCTGATTTTCAATTTTTTTATATATATGTAAGTACAGTATTGATGCAGGAGTTTTGAAAAAAACAAAACAAAACAAAACCATCAAAGGCCATCGCCGGAATCAAACTACAGTGAACAGCCGAGGTCACCGCCGCCCGCCGCTGAGTAGAGAGAGAAAAAGTTTTTTTGGGTTAGGAAGAGAGGAAAGATGAAGGAAGAGAGAGAGAGGGAGAGAGGCGGGGGAGTAGAGAGAGAAGATGCTTTTTTGGGTTAGGAAGAAGGTGAATTTGGCATATGCAAACTTAGGTGTGTCTAGGAGGGTTGATTTGGAGGGACAGGAGAGAAAAGAAAAGAAATGATAGTGTAAGAGTGTGTTTGTGTAGGTTAAGTGGAGAGATATGGAGGGATAGGGAGAGAAATGGAGGGATAGTTATCCCTTCTTATCACTTGTGGGCTTTCTCTCCCGATTTGAAAAGATAGGGAGGAATAGTAAGTTATAAATTATGGGTTATTAAAAATACCCTTTACAAATCAACATACTTAAAAGTAATTCTATTTATGTCTCAACTAGCTCTAGAATAGCAGTTAAGAAGCCACTGTAATTCAGCCGATTGAAGTTTGACCAAGCAACAAATTCACAAAAATATACAAGATTTTATTGATGATCATTTCACAGAGTCCCATCAGCATTTTTTTAGGGGCGGAAATTGAATCCAACAAAAAAAAGATTATGCAATATGTACACAAATATGTACATGATCCTGTCAATAAAATATAATTTTTAAAATGGCAGTACCAAATTTTATATAATTATGACTTTATCGTTTAATGTATTACTTTTTTCGTAGGCTTCAGGCAAACAATATAATTTCTACTTCCCGGTTGCTTAGGTTGAACGAGTCCTATCTAATTTTGTTTTTACTTTTTATTTTTATTTTTTACTTTTGTTTTTATCCGTGACATTGAACTATAAAAAAGAAATAAGATTTTGGAAATGGATAATGTATAAAGTGGTTATGAAAGGACAGGACAGTAATTTCGTCACTGTCCTTTCTTTTCTTTTCTCTCCTCTATCTTATCCAATTTCTCCCATATCTATCCAAACACGAATAAAAATTATTACTATCTTTTCTTTTCTCTCCTAACTAATATTATCATTTCTTTTCTTTTCTCCCCTACTTATCCAAACATACCCTTAGAGAGAGAGCAGGGTGAGAGAGAAAAATAGCCGACAAAATTTGGCATTTGTCTTAACTTTTCTTCCGAACTTTTCTTCCGAATTCCTAAGCAAACAGATTGGGTGGCCTATATGCAAGAGCTTGTTGGTGCTATTGCGAGTGCGCGCTCACAGTAACATTACTCTTTTCAAATAGGAATAAAAGTACTACGCTTTTAAAGATATTTTGTGCCCTTGTCCTATAATAAAAATAAGTGTATCAATTTTTTTTTTTTTTCACAGTGGAAATTTATAATGTGATTCGATTTGCCCTCTTGGTCGTTAAATTGATAATGTGATTTCATAATATTTTTATTCAGGGGCTGCGTGTTATATTTCAGGAGTTTAGAGCAGACTTTTTGTTTGCTTGTGAAAATATTCTTAATCCAATTTTGTGATAAAAGTAATACAAATTGGATTAAGAATAACCACCATAAGAATAATGATTTGCACATAAATCTGCTTTCGGAATATTGAATTAAATATTAGTTTAAATTTAAATCGTTTCTTGAAGATGGTTAAAGTCTTTCGTATGCCTAATTAGATTATTAGATAACAACATTATTTCCGAAATTATAACAAATTTAACAGTTTGTGTGTCTAACCTATATAAACTCATTTATTCATCTCCGTTCAATCATTCTTCTAAAATAAAATATAAATATAAAACGTATATTAATATATGTTCAATCATTCATCTACAATAAAATATAATTTTAAAACGTATTACATATATTGAATGAATAAAGTTAAAAACGTTACCAAAATGAAATTCATATAATTTTGTTACAAAAAAACTTAGGGTAAAGTACAACCATACCCCTTGAGGTTTGACAAAAAGACACTTAGAGGAAACTTACATATTTTTTGAACAAAGACACCTCTTGAAGATTCAAAAATGGACAAAAACACCCCTTTACATGAAAAATTGACCAAATTACCCTTTAACCAATTAAGAAACTTTTTTTAACTTTACAATTTAATAAATTGGACCAATCTACCCTCATGAATAATTTATGCATAAAGAAAAAGAAAAAAAAAAAACTTTATATTGTTCACTTTTTTTTGTTATTTACTTTATAAATGTCCCAACTTTTTAAAAATGTATACGTCTAAAATGATTTTTTGATTCAATACATATATTTCAAATAAATTATATTTTATTATTACTTCTTCTCTTTTTCTTTTTTATTTTTAAATTAAGATGCTTAATTCTTTCATCTAAAAAAATTAAATCAATCTCTTTTCCTTAAAAATAAAAAATATGGTACCAGTATAACTTTATAATTTATTTGAAATATATTTATTGGATCAAAAACTCATTTTAGACGTCTACATTTTTAAGAAGTTGGGACATTTATAAAGTAAATAAAAAAAAAAAGTGAACAATATAAAGTTTTTTTTTTTTATGCATAAATTGTTCATGAGGGTAGATTGGTCCAATTTATTAAATTGTAAAATTAAAAAAGTCTCCTAAATGGTCAAAGGGTAATTTGGTCAATTTCTCATGTGAATGGATGTCTTTGTCTATTTTTGAACCTTCAGAGGGTGTCTTTGTCCAAAAAACAGGTAAATTTTCTCTAAGTGTCTTTTTGTCAAATCTCAAGAGGTATAGCTGTACTTTACCCAAAAACTTAATAATATGGATTTAGTTTCCAAAAACTTGATCAGAGTTTTATCATAATTTCTCTAAACTTGGTAACTCCACCCGCTATATTTCTAATTTATCTATATTTCTAGCTCATCTCAACGTTTGAGCATTTACATACGTTTCCAAATGTATTCTATACAGGCTCACCTAGGTCCTTATATAAACTCCATATTTGTGAGTGATTAACCAGTGAACTTAATGATGGAATCCCCAAAATTAGCAATTACAAATTATTTATGGGTGATTCGATAAATATATTTACCTCCTTATTTATGCTAGATTAAATAATGTTTTTAGTCAAGCAACTTAACAGTCATTAGTTACAAGTTACAACTAACCCATCAGCTACTATTGAATCCGACGGTCCAGATTACTTTGACCAAGCAACTCAACAAATATTTTTCATCCAACCATTTAAGATTAAGGAAGATGACCAATCACAATTATAAAGGAAAAAACACAGTGATTCCTGTCAAATTTTGTCACCCTCCTACTTTTAATTTATTATTTTAAATATTATATATATAAATGGGGCGCTCCATATAAAGAGAGGGGAAATAATAAAAAGATCAATGAAAATGACTGCAATGAAGTTTGGCCGTTTAGGTTTGAATAGCATGGTTCTAAAAAACCATGGACTCAAAATGTTAATTAAGATTTACCACATAAATTTGCACATTTAGAACAAACTTATTTTGATCCTTATTTAACGTTAAAATTTAGGATAATTTTGGTATTGCTTTAAAAAGAAAAAACAAACAATTTCCAGAATATCAATTTTTAATACCCTGGATGTTTAAAGCAAGAATATATGAAGTAGATAGTAGTAATAGTTTGGGTCCAAAGAAAAACTATTGAGAGTACTATGAGCTTGCCAAATGAGGGAAGAAAGTATAGTTACATAATGGAGCCAACAATAGGGACAAGAGAGAGAGTGACACATTGAGACATGTAAGTGCTGTAATGTAGAGAGGCCCGCCTTTGTTGGTCCCCAAAAATATCTATGTTTGGGGCTTTGGACATTGAGAGACTTAACTGCTTGTCCGGTTATCAATGCTTGTCTGCCACCGCTCCATTCAAGATCTTAGACCCTAGAATTATGGTTGCACTAGGATTCTCGATACCAAAAATAAAATTGCCATATCAAAGAACAGTCCTACTACTCATTATTATTTGATACATGTCACTCCCCAATTTAAAATTTTTACTTAGAAAAGAACATAATATTCCGCTTTTTCTTTTTTTTTTTTCCTTTTTTTTTTTTTTTTTAAGATAATTGCGCTAACCTTCCGTATAGATTGTTTAAATAACATGAATTTCCTTTATAATTTTAAATATAACAATAACTTTTCTCATAAGGTGATTTTGACCGAAAAATATTAAATAACTGCCAAACCCATTGTATTTTTTATTATTTTTAAATGAAAAATATATAAGGGCATTCTGAAAGTTTAAGTAAATATTGAATATGATATTAGATAAGTGTAATTATTCTAGGGGAGAGAACTTTGTTATTTAGACAATTTATGAGGAGATATAAGTGTAATTATTATTATTATTTTATCAAAAGTAATTTTAAAATACGGACCGAAAATAATTTTATAATTTTAAATATAACAATAACTTTCTCTATCAAGTGACTTTGACCTAAAAGTATTAAAAAATTACTATACCCGTTATACTTTTATTGGTTTTAAATGAAAAACATCTAAGGACATTCTAAAAGTTTAAGTGGGTGTTTGAGATTGCTTCTCTTACAAAAAATTACGGCACAATGTGTTTGGTGAAAAAAAAAAAAAAACAAAAACCCGTTGTGGTAGAGGTTAGGACAAAAAAACGTGTTTAAGTAGGTGTTTGGGATTGTAGCTCTTATTATTGGTAGATGTTTGGTCTAAAAAGCGCGTTTAAGTAAAGGTAGGAATAATAGCTTTTAAAATTACGTTAAGGTAGATGTTCATATTTTTAGGTAACGAATTTTCTTTTAGTCAATTTAATCCCTTTATATTTTTTTATAAATACAATTATATCCCTTCTACAAACAAATAACAAACAATATGAACTTTGTAACAAACTAAAATCCTAATTTATTTTGGGACTCTCCAGCCTTCCAATCTTAGTTTATTTTGGAACTCTGAATTATATAATTGTTAGATATTTAATTTTTAATAAATTATGATTTGTAATTTATTTTTAAAATAACTATAATACATTTATACTATTATCTTAAATAACAAGTAATAAGATTATTAATTGTGGTTAAAGTGTTTAGTTATATTTTGTGAAATGTTGTCTATATTGTAAAATAGTATATTATTAAATTTTATTATTAGATAGCATATGAACAATTTTGCTTATTTTATTACCGGAAGATCCCATATCAAATACAAATTAATCACCATAAAAATGTGTTTAACTCATTTATATTTTAGTATTCAATACAAATTCGATATCATAAACAAAATATGTGATATTTAAAAAAAAAAAAAAAATCAATACAAGTTGATCTTTATAAATTATTGAACTCAATGAAATTTTATAATATTTAATATTAGGGAATTAGCATATGTTTAGTGTACGGGTAATATAGTAAAATTAGTAATAAAAATGCTTTAAGCAACATTATTACAAAAAAAATAAAAAAAGTGCTTCAAGTATAAAAAATGTTTTATATAATGTGTCACCAAACGCTTAATTACGTTTTACTGACCGCACTTTTATAACAGTTTTACTATTAAAAGTCCTTTTAAGTGTAATTATTATAGGGAAGATCAATCTATGAGGAGAGATAAGTGTAATTATTATTATTATTATTATTTTACCAAAAGCAATTTTAAAATACAGAGTTAGGACACACAATTCTTTTCAATGGATATCGTTCTTACGTTTTTAGTGTGCGCTCTCGCTTTGGTACTCATCATTTGTAACTTAATTTTGTCACGAACTATTTTCAAATTCGTTCTTGAACTCACCCTCACTCTCCCTCTCACTTTAGGTGGGTTAGAAACTGAGTACAATGATAAAAGAAAGATAGGCCACGCCTCCTGATCTGGATCACCCCGATTACATTTAATAGCCGACCGTGTTTCAGTTGGTTGGAACCCAATTCAGCGATATACCATCTACATCAGCTGAAGTCATGTTCACCGTATCTTTACAATTATGGCCGAGAAGGAAGCTGGAGGGGAAAGAGATATAATACTCCTACATATCGTTCTAGCTAGGTTCATATTCAAAACTTAATATTCACAAATGAATTCAATTTACCCTTTTTTTTTTTTTTGTAATAATGTTTAGAAAACCTATAACAATTTTATTTGATTCTCACCCATACTGAAATTTTCTATCAGTGTGTTTTTATTTAGAAGATTTATTAGATAAAATTTTTGGCAGCATGCTTTTAACGTTTAGAAAAAAGAGGAACCTATTTCAAAAATCTTAAAAATTCATAATCACCATGTTTTAATACTATATTAGAAAATCTAGAATAAAAAAAAAAAATTTCAATATGACGTCTAAAATATGCTAGTTCATAGGATTTAAGTTTTATTATAGAAAGTTTTCAAACTTCACACATTTCATTCTTAAAGCTTAAAAATCTTTATATTTACATCATCAAGTCATTTTGGTCGTAGTCTCCTAGTGCTGGATATCGGTGGTGTCTGAAAAACAAAGAGAAAACATATATATGCTTTTGCCCTAGTATTATTATACAGACGGTTTTTATTAAACTTAATTTTTGGGTATGCCAAATAAATCATAATTTAGTTAATTACATGACTTCTAAAAGTAACTCCATGAGGTTTGTTTTAAACTAATTACTCATAAACAAATATATTAGGATTAAAAATAGACAAAGTTAGGCCAGATCCTTCTTAGTTTGGCCCATCGACAGCTGAGTATAGTCCATCAAATATATTTGGGCCAAATTCAATACTGGACCAATCCATTTCATTCAAAATTTGTTGGAAGGGCATATACGTACTTTCAAAACCAAGGGCTTTTCCTCGTGGTTTCAAAATCCTACTGAGAATCTCTCACACCTTCAAAAAGGGCAAAACACATCGAAACATGAAGCAGCAAACTGAACACACTTACTATTACAGTAGAGGATGGGCGATCGCGACAGAGGTCGCGACCGAGATCGGGACAGGGACAGGGACAGAGACAGAGACAGAGATAGAGAGAGAAGAAGAGATAAAGACGATCGAGAACGTGATCGAGACCGCAAGGACCGTGAGCGCAGCAAACGCTCTCGCACTCGTTCGCCGGACCGCACCCGGTCGCGTCACACCCGTTCTCGTACTCGCTCGCCGGACCGCCACCGCTCAGGGACCCGCTCCCCCGACCGCGCTGGGCGGCGACACCACCGTACTCCCTCGCCGGACCATCCGCGCAAGCGCCACAAACGCGGCGAAGAAGACGACAAAGACCGACAGAGAGCGGCGGCTGCGGTAGCCGAGTTTGTGGACGGGATTGCGAGGGAGCAGAAGCAGCAGAAGGGTTCCGCGGAGGGAAGTGGTGCTGATGGGGGTGGTGATGTGGAGGTAGACCCAGATGAGATAGAGATGATGAAGAAATTGGGGATTCCGACTGGGTTTGATTCGACGAAAGGGAAGCCGGTGCCCGGAGCCGATGTGAGCGGAGTGAGGGCTGTGACAAAGCGGCAGCCGAGGCAGTACATGAACAGGCGGGGCGGTTTTAATCGTCCTTTGCCGGCTGAAACGAATCGTCGTTAATCTGAATCTGTTGAGGTTAGGGTTTATTTGTCCATCCCTCTCTGTAATTGTTTACTTGTTTACTTATTGGCTTTGATGACATTATATAAAAACTGTTTTTAATGATTAGAATTTTAATTCGTTGAATATTTTTAGTTTTTGTTTTTGTTTTTTTGGTAGTGGTTACGAGAACTGTGAAGAAGTACTGTAATTGAAAATGGAATTATTTATTTTGCTCTATTATGTTCTACCACGTTTCAATGTTTTAATGTATCATTTATATTTAACAAATGAGGCCACTATTCTCTCTCTGAAAACGTGCATTTATGGCTTTAACTATACTCGCTAACAAATATGTATATTGGAAGATGAGGTTGTTCTTATAGCATTTTAATTTTCTGTTCTTGTATGTTGCAATTGAAAGGTTGCATATTATAATCTGATAACATGTGGTTTGAGTGACCTTGTGGGCTTAGAATGGAATGACATAGATGGGTTCATGTAGCCGTAGCCTACCCAAATGCTTGGGAAAATGTTTTGTTTATTGAATTTTTTTTAGATATGATATTCTATGATAAAAAGAATTATCATAATTTGATTTTGATTTCTTTCTCCCTTTTTTGGTTGATGGAGCCCTGTTTGGAGAAAGTCTATGATAGCTACCTATAGAACTAATATGGAGGGTTTTAGAAAAGAAATGAGTGACAAAGGAATACATTGACACAATAAAGGATATGTATGACGGTTGTGTGACCATAGTTAGAACACATGCAGGGGAAATAAGTGAATTCCCAATTATTGCAGGCTTACACCAAGGGTCAATATTAAGTCAATATCTTGTTGCCTTGGTTATGGATGAAAAACAATGGGTCCTTTGAGAGACCATGGGGACAGGATCATGTGGGGGGATATAGTTACTGGTACATTAGTATAATAGTTCACCTAACTAATCCTACCTTATGTCAGTCCATTCTTATTTTATTGTGATTTGGTATAAATGTTAAGTTCTTGTTTTTCGTGGTTGTCATTGATCTTATTTGCTGATGATATTGTCTTAGTTGATGACACTAGAGGAGTTAATGCCAAATTGGGGGCTTGGAGAGAAGCTTTGAACTAAAAGGGTTTAAGATAAGTCAAAATAAATTGAATATATGGAGTGTAACTTTAGTAAATGTAGAAAGACAAATGATGAGGATATAGTGACGATTGAGAATCAAGAGGTACAAAAAAGTCAACATTTTCGTTATTTAGGCTTAGTTATTCATAATGAGGGAAAAATTGGAGATGAGATTACTTTTCAGCAAAAAAATTGGAGATGAAATTAAACATAAAATCAGGATAGGATGGGTTAAATGGAGGAGTGCGTCTAGTATATTGTGTGATAGGCATATACCCTTGCAATTTAAAGGGGAATTCTATTGAACAACTATTAGACCAACCATACTTTATGGTATCAAATGTTGGGCAGTTAGAAAACAACATTTGCATAAAGTGAGTGTGACAGATGTGTGAACGTTGAGATTGATGTGCGGTAAGACTAGAAAGGCTAAATTTATAAGATCACATTCCGGAGTTGGTTGGAGTAGCACCAATTAGATGTAAAATGAGAGAAAATCGATTAAGATGGTTTTGACTTTTGACAAGTGCAAAGAAGACCTTTTAAGTGTGCCGGATAGGAAAAGTGACATAGTGCACATTGAGGGTAATGCTAAGGGAAGAGGAAGACCAAAGTTAACTTTGGTAGAGTTAGTAAAAAAAGACACGAGAGCATGTGAATTGATGGGGTTTTTGGCCTTCAATACTGTGGAATGGAAACATATGATTCATGTGTCAACCCCAAGTAATTGGGAAAAGGCTTGTTGTTGTTGTTGTGTATTAGCATATATGTATGTTTGTTAGCCCTGCATTTAATGAAAGAGCATATCCAAGGCAACTTGTCCCATCAATTGGTTGGCATCCATGTTTGTTGGGACATGGATTGCCACTTGTCAAATTTTCAAAGGACTCAGAGGTAACTCATGTTAGCAAGTAATACAAATATTGCCACTTGATAACTTTTTTATGGACGAAACATGGAAGAACACTTATCTTGCAAGACTTGTCAACCCGTGCAATTCTCCTATAAATAGAAGTCTTCTCCATCACCAGTGCAAAACATCCACCCACACTCAACACAGGCCCAAGACTTATCTCCTTCAAGTTCTTGAAACTTTATCTTTCCTTGTATTGTTTGGTCACCTTGTGGCCCTTGATTTGCAGGCGTGCTGGAGTTTTGGACCCGGACTCATGGTGTGATTGTAACACATTCCCTTGGGTCGGCCATGACAAACGACAACCTAAGTGAGTATGGTTGTCCATCAAACGATTGTGAGGAGGCAAGGGAGGTATTTCTTGCGGGGTTGTAGCTCATGCCTTAGTAACATCGACTTAAAATTTCGCATTGTGGTTGTTGGTGATCAAACATTACGAACATAAAGTTGGTGTTAAAGTGTACTGTGCATATGAATATTATGGAGAATACCTATATTGCAAGGGAGATCGGAGATGGAGGTGATGGTGGATAGTGTTGTGGATAGTAAGGTTGTGGGGAATACCCGTATTGAGATGGAGGCGGAGTGTAGTAAGAACACTAGCATGACAAGGAGATGAATAAAGATGAGATTTTATATTAGAATTAGTATGAAACCAATCATATTCTTCATCACTTGAATACATTATTTTTTGGACTTGAAGATTACAGGAGTGGAGAGAGAAAGTTACACAACTTGAAGTTATAGTACAGCCGTACAAGTAATGTAAAGTTGCATGAACGTGTGTAAAGTTGTAGGAACTTGAAGGAGATAAAGCCTTAGCTTGTCTTGATTGTGTGTGAATCATTTTTACTGTTGGAGAAGACTTCTATTTATAGGAGAGTAGCATGGGCTCTCAAGTTTTGGGAGATGGGTTTTCTTCCTTGTTTTGTTCGTGAAAAAGTTGACAAGTGGCAATACTTGTGTTGCTTGCTCACACGGGTTTCCTCTGGGTCCATAAAAAACATGACAAGTGGTAGTCCATGTCCCAACAAACATGGTTGCCAATCAATTGATGGGACAAGTTGCCTTGGAAATGATCTTTTGTTAAATGCAAGGTCGACACACATACATACGGACGTTCACACACATGTATAGGATCATTGTCTTGGTTGGCCATTGGATATAGCTTGAGGTCAACCATATCGATTCTCTTTCTCCATTTTTTTATTATAAGCTACCCCTGTTACTTGATTTTTTTTAATTATTTCTAAAACTACATCTCGCGATAAATTTGTTCATTTTCTTACCTTCTATATAACCCATCGTACTCTTTTTACTGGTGCATCTATAGTCTTGGTTTTATGTGTCAATACCGTCCAACTCTACATTCTCTACTTTTCTCACCAATGAGTGCGACTCCTAATTTTTCTCTCTCGTTAGTAACCATATCTCTTCTAGTCACTCCGACTATCCATCTTTAACATTCTAATTTTCATTACATGATTTTGTTGATTTTCGATTTTTTTTTTTGATTTTTATTTTAAAATAAAAAGCGTAATATTCTGCCCCATATAGAATAGTAGGGCTAACGACTTTATTATAAAATTTCCCTTATAACTTTATTTGTATTTTATATTTTTTTGTCACATAACACGCCACTAGTTTGTCTCCATTTTTTGAATCTTGATCCAATTCTACTAGTTATATCACTATCTATTTCTCCATTCTTTTATAAAATTGATCCTAAAAATCAAAATTGGTTATTTTGAATAATTACCATCAATATCTGATTCTTAACTTAAATTTACATTCCATTTTTTATAAAAGGTGTAGGTTTTAGCATTGGAAAATGATTATCCATGAGTTGGGCATGGAAGGAGAGGAATCAGCATAATTATAATGTTACATATACATATCTATACCTATGCATACACATATGTGATGTATCTTTATTATGTCTTTGTCTAAGTTAGATGGGTGATTATTGAATGTTGTGATTCATATTTTGCAATTTTCATAATATAATTATAGTAAATTATATTAATTGGTCATACAAATTTCATAATTTAGTTATAGGATATTACATTAATTTGTCATAAAGTACTTTTTTGTAGTATGCATTTCAATGTCTGTATATATACTATTTCTATTTTCTGTGTCCTTATCCTATTTTATATTGTTATGTTGACTTGCCCATGCCGTGTTGTGTTTGTTATGTGGTGGTGGTATCTATGCTTCTTCATACCTTTGATTTGGACGGATCTGCCCATGGAAAAGGTTAACAAAAGAGATTTGATGAAAAAGGGGTTGTCGATGACTATGGGGGCTGTTTGGACCTCTGCAAGGCCATATGGGCAGACCAACACATTTTTTGGGGCAGTTTCAATGAGTCTGTTTCGACCTGAGGGGACTCATTCCCGATTGAGAGTGGACCAACAATCAATATATGTCATTTGTTTTTTTGGCCAAATTCCATTGTTTAGGGCTTTATTTTTGCATTTTTTCTGTGCTATAGGAAAACCACCAATTTTTTATAGATTTTTTAGTTGTAAAATCGGACTCTGTTGAGCTGATTTTGGGTATTTATCTACGTTTAGTGATTAGGTTCTCTCTCTCTGTTTCCCTTTTCTTTTCCTTTGTGATATTTAGAGAGTGCCATTTTGGGCTGTTTTTAGGATTCCTTATGCTGTTAGTTTTTCTTTACTATTATAAATACATGTACTGTAGAGCAGATTTACACCTTTTTTTTTTTAATCAATATATATATATATGGTAAATAGCAGATTTACACATTCATTATTAATCAATAACATATCCTAAACTTTAGATTCAAATTTGTTTTATTCGTTCGTGAACTTTTCATAACTTCTGCTTCATCAAGATCTTTAAAGCTGTCTAATTTTTCCTTTGTTATAGAAAGGTTTTTATTTTTAGTTTTTTGGGATTGGGATTTGGAGGATGAAGTTGAAGTTCTATAGATGCTCTTTTTTGGTAGTGATATATATATATTGTGGGACAGGAATTTGAAAACTTCCAGAATATTAGTGATTTTTCTTTTTATTGGGGAAAATATGTAAGTCATGTTTTTTATAGGACCCGGGCCTCGAACACTCAACCTCCCCTTTGGGGAGGGAGGGCTTAGCCAATTCTAATCCCTTTATTTCTGAAGATTTGAATTTAAAGCACCTTTGTTTTATTCTGTTTTTTTTTTTTTTTTCCTTCCCCCCCTATATATGTATGTGTGCATATATTTGGGGGAGGTGGAAGTTTACTTGGTCATTGAAAAACCTGGGTCTCAGGGACTTCGTTGTTGAAGAAGATTGGAAAATAGATGTGTAGTTGGCTAAAGAATCAAACAGGGTGGTTGGATTTAATGGCACTGGATGAAAGTGTTCTATGACTTGGCTGTGCTGTAGGTGCATAGCTTCGGTTTATTGGTCACTACTGATGTGGCAGATTTCCTGGTGACGAGAGGCTCATTTCCAGCATTTCCAGTTTATGCTCATCTGGTTCACATAGTTCTGTAGTGATTTGTTTATATTAGGCTGTTATTGTTTCCTTCTTTTGAAAGACTGGTGGTCCTTTTATTTTTTTCTCTCCCTCTTCTTTCTAAATGTAATTTATTATAAAAAAAACTAGAAAAAGAAAAGAAAAGTTTGTTGCTTAGAAATTTTGGTTAATTGTGCCTAGGGAAAAAAAAAAGTAGGGTTATTGTGAAAATTGGCCTGATTATTTTTATAAAAATTCATCTCTTAAATTTCCGTAACTATGTCTTCCACTAATAGGGTGCTAGATTTTGAAGTAAATGTTCTTTGACCAATATCAATCAATATGTTCATTACTTATCCAGAAAAAAAAAAAAAATCATTATGTTCATGCAAACTCAAGCTAATAAAGGTGTCTTGTAGAAACCTGGGAAGAAATGAATTTTGTGGATTTGGAGTATATGCCAAATTCTGAGGGAAAAGTGCTGAGTATTCTTGTACTGTTTTGGACTTTGAGATACTACGGCCCATTTTAGGAGTGGTTGTTACTTGTTGGTTGTTTTGTTGTTCAGAAACTAGTGAGGTGTTTATTTCTCCATATAATGACTTCATGTAGAAACTGAGTTCTCTTGGTGAGTTAGTGTAGGAGTTGTCTAGAATTTTTGGCCTTTTTTTTAAGGACATTAGGTCACCTGTTATCTATGAGGTGCGAATGAGTTGGACGCTCTGATGAACTATGCAGACGGTTTGTATTGGTAGTATTCTGGTGCCAGGAATGATAATTTGACTTGCATGATTCTTGAATGGCATTACTAGAAAAGTCCTTTCAAATGAAGCTATTAAGACCCAGAGGTTATCTTTAGGTGACAAATGGAAGAAGAAATCCTAAACTATGCCTTTTATGTAATTACTTCTATTATTTATAGTTAAGAATAAATTCTTTGGAATAGGATTCAGAGATTTTGCATGATTATCACAATTATTATGAAAAGTTTGCATATATTTTAAGAATTGTGTGATGATTGAACAGAGGCATGGCGCAATTGTATGGGGGCAGGATAGCATGATAGCATGATTTCCCTTCCATTATTCTTCTCTATCTAAGCCAAGTATTTTTTGTTAGGGTAAGACTATCGTTTGTCTTTGTTGTCCTTGCTCTCCGTTCGAAATATGATTACAAATTTTTTCTTGTAACCCACAAAAAAAAGAAAAGAAAAAAAGAATTGCATTACTCAGGATAAATCTGGAAATGCCAAATTACAAAAAAAAAAGGTGCATCACTAGGACAAATTTGGAAATGCAAATCTTTTGACATATGGCTGCATAAGTGGACACTTTTTATCTTTATGTCGTACTGTTATAGAGAAACCTTATTGCTTTGCATTTATATAAACTCTGTTGATAGGTAGCATTAATCTAAGCTTTTTTGTTTGAGTTAATTTGTACTGGTGGAGCCCCACTCCGCTCCTAATGGAATGGGTCTGTGTGCATTCTGATCGGATTAGTGGCTGGTTTTTGTGAAGAGAGTCAAAACCCCTAACCCACCCGATTAGTAATAAATATATGTTCTATTATTGGCTTTTGTCTCTTTCTTTTCATTGTTTCAGTTACTTCAAATATCAACTACAACGTAGTTAAGAAATTTGTGATTATAATTGTTAATATTTTATGATTGAAAATTTTCTTTAGAAAAAAGTATTCATTACGGGGTGATCTGAACCCGCCCTGGCTGATTGACTCTGATGTCGGGTAGGTTTGGAAATTATTTTGCCTTTGCGGGGTGGGTTTGGATAAGGGTGACCTGCCCTGCTGACATCCCTACTTTTTTTTTACCACAACCGAGGATCTGAAATGTTGTATTTATCCAAGATGATTGTCATGCAAGTGTTTTTTTTTTATTTTTATTTTTTTAATCATCAAGTATGCACTTTTAACAGATGGGAAAGCATTTGCTAGCATGGAGTGGATGAGGAGGAGATATTTGGTTCCCAAATTCTGTTGATGGAACTCAATTGCAAGAAGCCATGTTAGAGTCCCTGGAATTTTCCCTTTGAAGATGTATTGATTGTACTCTATATAAAATCCCAAATACGGTTGGATTGGAACTTCCATAGTGTTGTACAATCTGATTCTATTGAATTCTTTCGAGTCCCCATAAAGATGATGATGGATGCTTAGATTATCATGGAAAAATTATGCAGATGCTTGTCTGGCAGATATGTGATGAGATCATCCTAGCCACTTCATCTATTGCCGGTTACGGACACAAATTGCATTACGAATAATGAATTTGAGAAGCCACAACCACCAAAAATGCCAGTAAATTCTCTTCTATTATGGATGATAGGCTTGACTTTGTCATGAATTTATCATTCACGTAGATGGTGACTAAGGTTATTTTATGAGGTTTTAGATTCTCTTATATATTGTCCAATTTAGGGTGAAAAGAATCCCACATGTCATGATCCTTTTTTCATTCCCTTCCTTCCTATCCACCTCAGTATGCATTCCCCTCCTTCCTGCCCGTCTCTCTATTATAGACGAACTATTACGAAGTTCCAAAATGTTTTCTTTTATCTTCTCTTCACTCCTGTAATTTTTTTTTTTTTTCCTTCTCCTTTGTAGTCTCTACTAAACGCTGTTGGAAGAATGAAATGGAATGCATTTGAAGAAGGTTATTGTGAATCCAAGTTTAGATCCATATTTTTGTAACCATATTTAAATTCGACCCACACAGATCAGTTGAAATGTAATTCAAGCCCTAAACATCATTGAAGACCCTGTGGTGGAAATAATGGATTTGTAACTGATCAAGGCAAACTCAGATTCCTAGGCTCAATATCTATACCAAAAACCGCCCCTTCCGAGAAGGCTAGAGCCCCAATCAAATCAATCATACTACCAATCCTAAGATAACATGGAAATAATTTAATGATAAGACTCTCACACTATACATTCTCAAAATTTAGAGTTTAAATTTTCTCCAGACCACTCTTAGGACAGAGGCTAGATATGTCCGGTGGTGAATTATAAGGAGCTCTAACAAAAATAAAAAATGCATGGTTAAAAAAGAAAAAAAGTTGGGCAAGTAGTAGTCGCAACTCGCAAATTATGCAGAAAAGCAACTCCACAAACAACTTGTAGTAAGTAATTATTGCAATTGAAACCTTAAAAGATCCCTCCACAACGAGTCAATTATAAATTATTGCCAAAGAAAAGGACAGACAACGAAGGAATAATGAACTTGAGAAGTCACAACTCCCCAAAATGCCAGTAAATTCTTTTCTATTATGGATGATAGGCTTGACTTTGTCATGACTTCATCATTCATGTAGATGGTGACTAAGGTTATTTTATGAGTTTTTAGATTCTCTTATATACTGTCCAATTTAGGGTGAAAATAATCTATCCACCTCAGTACACATTCCCCTTTCCTGTTCACCTCTCTATTTAGACGAACTATTACAAAGTTCCAAAATGTCTTCTTTTATCTTCTCTTCACTCCTGTATATATATTTTTTTCCTTTGTAGTCTGTACTAAACGCTGTTGAAGAATGAAATGGAATGCATCTGAAGAAGATTCTTGTGAATCTAAGTTTAGATCCATATTTTAGTTCCAGAAGTCATATTCGGATTTAATCCATATAATCTGAACAGGATTAGAAGAAAGTAGAGTATGCTTGATTTGAGTTGGATTTGAATTATTTGTCTTTAACCATATCTAAATTCGACCCAGACAGACCAGTTGAAAACATAATCTGAAGACCCGGTGGCGGAAATGATGGGATTTCTAGCTGATCAGAGGCAAACTCAAATTCCTAGGCTCAATATCTATACCAAACACCGCCCTTCCGAAATCAAATCAATCATACCGCCAATCCTAAGATAACATGGAGATGGTTTAATGATAAGACTCTCACCTCACATTCTCAAACTCAAAATCTAGAGTTTGAATTTTCAAGAGACCAATATTAAGACAAAGGGCTACGTATGTCCAGAATTATGAGATGTTTTAAGAGACTCAACACTATCATCAATGACACGAAAAATAAAAAATGCACTGTTAAAAAAGAGAAAAAATTGTAGTTGCAAATTGTGGCGAAAGACTTTTTCATTCTCTCTCTTGGAGAGAACGTTGCTTTTCCAAAACAAGGGGTTAGAAGCCACAAAACAATGGGCTATTATAATGTGACATACACAAACAACTTGTAGTAAGTAATTATTGCAATTAAAACCTTAAAAGATCCCTCCACAACGAGTCAATTATAAATTATTGCCAAAGAAAAGGACAGACAACGAAGGAATAAAAGGATTAAAATAGAGAAAAGTGAAACACTAAGTGCTCTTCGTAGATGAAGGGTGAGTGAATCTTCAGAGCACTCAGGAGGTGGGTTTTTGAATGACAAAGGCCATACACTGAACCTGGTGCTTGTTGTCGAATGCCAAACAGCGAATATAAGCATTTGGGTATGCCTTCTTGCACTCATGAATCTCATTCAGGACTTGAGAGGAGTCATTGCACCCAAACATAGGCAGCTTCCACAGAGTCCAATACCTCCCATCATAGTAACCTGGAATTTGGCTATTGTCCCTGTACACATGCCCCACCTTCCATGGAAAAGAAAAAAAAATTAGGAAAACCCAATTGTTAAAAAATCAAATGTATCTTACAAAAAACAACAAAACTAAAACAACAATGATTATATTTCAACATGCATATCGGATGAAAAATCTATATATCACATGGGAAGAGTGGCAAAAACATTTACAGAAAAAAAAAAAAAAAAAAAAAAAAATGAAAAGAAATTCATCTAAATATTCTTATTTCCTAATCTTACCGCATCAAATTCAAGGCAAGGGATCCATTCGTTTTTGATCATGTAATCAATCTGCTTTGCGACCGAATCATCAGAGAGAGGTGGGAGGTATGAGAGTGTCTCAAACTTCTTGTTATCAATTGGATTCCATGTCTGTTAATTTAGCAAGAAAAGGAAGGAGATAGAGCAAGTAATCAAAAGTACAAATGGAAATGCATAGCGACTTTGCAATGTTTCTTATTAAGATCATACAAACAGGGATACAATGAATGCGGAGTGATTTTTAAATTTCTATTTAGATCACATTACCTTCATGCAGTGAGTTTTAGAGCCGTTTGAGATGGTTTTCCGGCTCCATCCTATCGAATCCTTCACAGGAAAAAGCTTTGACGGGTTGGGTTTCAAGCCAATATAGCCGGAACCGGCAACTGGGGCAGAGAAGACACCGGCAGACATACTTCTCTGAGCGGGTTTCAAGAGAAAACCGAGGGAAAGAAACAGCACACAAGGTGGTATCACAAGTGACTAATAGTTTAATTTATGTTGATGGAGGAAATGGTTAGAGAAAAAGACAAAGAGAGTGTGGGTGATCGTGGCCTGACGTATAATTTGTTAGGGTGAAAGGGGGTATTGAGATGAGTACAAGGTGGGGAGAGTTTTGTTAGGCATTATAGCTTTGTTTTCATCACCAGCTCCTGCTTTTTGATTTCGTTCAGCGCCCACAGTTCCCTTGGAACACACAGACCGTTTTAGGACCCACCACAGAATGGTGCCACTTGGGTAGTTCTGTCACATATCTCCAACTGTTTCAAATAAGGGGAATGGTTTGTGAACCAAAGATCCAAAACCGAATGCGAGAGGGGCTGGTAGGTCCCACATCAGCCATGTATCATTACTCTTCATCTAGACTCGGAGATGATTTCCCAGCAATTTCTTCCTTGCCAAACAGAAACTATCTTGTCTGATTGTTGATTGCAAGTCAATTTGATCAATGCACTTGCTATAGTGGTGGTATCCAGAAGTAGCTTCCAAGAAGTGCCTGATTCCACCAATAAACTAATTAACAGTCTCCATCAATGAAGCTCAAAGTGCACCTTAATTCAATTGATCAGACACAGTGCATTAGCTGATTGAGCTGTGGGCTAAAAGCTTAAAGATGCACACCATATATAGTGTCTTTCAGCTACTGTAATGCTATAGCTGGTATTGATCCAAAGATGAAGAAATCAACTCCAGATTAAGACGATTCACATGTTCATAAATATCCTTATATTGGAAATGAGATTTGTCGTCAACTATAAATCTGTGGACAATCCCATTGATCTCAATAAAACTCCAAGCAGTAATTGTAACTACTTTCCTCTCTTTCATCATTTTCCTCAGCCTCATCACACCTTCCCAGCTGCCCATAGTGGCATACATGTTTGCTAGAAGAACATACCTTCCACTATGATGAGGCTCTAATTGAATCAGAATCTTACCTGCCTTTTCCCCCAATTCAACATGACCATGCATCAGACATCCGTTAAGCAAAGACCCCCATATGGCTCCATCTGGTTCCATTGGCATACTATTTACCAAAATCTCTGCTTCTTTGATACGTCCAGCCCGTGCTAAGAGATCAACCATGCAGCCATAGTGCTCAATCACCGGCGAGATACCATAAAGTTTATTCATACGTCCAAACAGTAACCACGCTTCATTCACCAGAGTTTTGTGATTACAAGCAGCAAGTACTCCAACAAAAGTAACAGCATTCGGTTTAGGACCGTTTCTTTCCATCTCCTTGAAAAGATCAAGCCCCATGTCATTTCTGCCATTGATCACACATCCCAATATCATAGCACTCCAAGTAGTTACATCTTTACAAGGCATCTTGCAAAAAATTTGTTGCCCTATTTCTATGTTCCCACATTTAGCATAGAAATCTATCAATGCAGTGCCAATCTCGAGTTTGTATTCTAAACAATTCTCATCTATAAAAGAATGAACACCTTTCCCTTCTTCAAATGCACCTACTTCTGCACAAGCATTAAGCACGCTCACCAAAAGTGACTGATTAGGCTTCACAAACGCACAACTCTTCAACTTGTGATACAACTCAATTGCCTCGTTGTAATACTCATTCCTAACATACCCAGAAACCATTGCACTGTAAGAAACATCATTTCTTTCAGGCATCGCATCAAACAATTCACGAGCCTCATCAACAAGCCCATTAGCACAATACCCACTAATCAGAGTCGTCCAACAAACCACATTCCTATTTGAACTTTCTTCGAACACTTGACAAGCAACTTGCATCGCTCCAAATTTAGAGTACATATGTATAAGTGAACTAGTAACATAAACATCAGAATCATGCCCAAACTTCAAAATCTGGGCATGAACTTGATACAGTGAAGTCACACAAACACACGCTTTTGCTAAAATTGGGAAAGAACGCGCATTTGGCTCAACACCATTACTTCGCATTTGGACAAAAACTGTGAGACCCTCTTCAGGTTTTGAGCTTTTTGAGTAACCCATTATCATGGAATTGAAATCGAAGATGGTGGGGCCAACAATTTGGTCAAAGACTATCTTCGCATAGTTCATGTCACCAGTTTCTGGTACAGCACAGAAAGCTAAGATTTTGCTTGTTATGTAGGTGAAACGAGCGACGCCAAGTGTGATCACTTGTGCATGAACTTGTTTCAGTTCATTCATGGTCGAGCATGTCTGTAGGAGACGAAGAAATGGTATATTCGAGATTGATTTCAACAAGTTCGTGGTACTCATGACTACTTTTGAGTACAACTCTTGTTGGACAATGCAACGCCTGCAAGTTCGCTCAGCTTCGCAGTAAATTCCGTACTCTAGTCACTTGATCCAAATTAACAATGCTCAGTCAAAACCACCTAGTTGTATTTTTTATTTTTCACTATTATTATTTTTTATTTTTTATGATACATGAGTTTAAATAATTTTTACACGGAATATGTTGCACTGAATTGCAGATTTATTATTTTTAATTAGTTATTTATACAATAAATAAGAGAAAGGAGCCTTCTACTTGCTTGTATTTTGTATAAATAACCGAACAAAAATATTTTGTTAAGCAATTCTTTTACATAAGTATCATCATGCTCTTAAGTCTTAACAGAAATACTAAATACTGTCATGACGGCACATATTGAATACGTGAACTTTACTGTGAGATTCACAAAATTTAAAGACTCTACTTGCATAGTTACGACTGATAGCACAACCCTCCTTTAATAGTCATATAATGCACTAAAGACCTAAGGCATCCATGTGCTGTACGTGTGGTTTGGTGAGAATAATATTGTTAAAAGAATAGACCATGTTATTAGATATGATAGTCTAGCCTAAAATCCTAGGATGGATTGGATAAGGCCAAAATTTGGTTCTCATCAATTTCTCCACTAAACTATTAGTCCTGTGAATCATTATGGTATGATCAAAGATTGAGCTAGTCTTTGTAGTGCTGTGGAGGGGCTTGTTTTATGCTTCAAACCCTTAAAATCAGTCGTTTCCACACTCGTTTAATGCTTGTTTCTGTTTATTTTGCTCTACTAAAAATGTCTGTCTTTTATTTTGGACTTTGATCAAATTATCAAGCAGGGAAAAGAAAAGATAAGAGATTCAGCACATTTGTATTTTCTGGGGTATCTCTTCATCTGACTGACATAAAATTAATATTGAATGATAAAAGCGCTCATATTATTCCAACTAAAAAAATGTGCAATTTACTTTACACACAGGTACAGGCATAAGAGCCACATAATAAAACAAATGGGAAAAAAACTTGTTACTGAAATTATTTAATGGACAAATTAAGAAAATAAGAAACAGAAAATTTTACTGCTGTCATAAACATCAGGCTCCCCAAATCCAATTAACACAACCTAAAATTAGAACATGTAGATCCAACTCATAAACTAGATTAAGAATATATTAAACAGGTCTTGCAAACAAGCCTAAAGCTGAATTTATAACAGTAAAGCATCCATCTAATGTTAGATTATGTCCCCTCACATACTTGGACTCATCACTTGCCAAAAACACAGCAGCTTCAGCCACATCTTCGAGCTCAAGACTCACCCCCTTAAGGTTAGTATAAAGGCCAGAGGCTGCTTCTTTATCCATCTTGAAGAAATCCATCCACAATGGGGTCACGATGAAGTAAGGTGAGATGCAATTCACACGAATACCAAACTTCCCAAGCTCTGCAGCAACATTCCTGGTCAGTCCCACCATGGCGTGCTTTGAACTCGTGTATGCATGAGAAGTAACACCACCAACACTCAGAACAAACACTTCCAATTGTGATTATGCTACCCTTTCGTGCAGGAATCATCACGCGAGCAGCGTGCTTGGTGCCTAAGAAGACTCCTGTTAGGTTGACGCTAATGACATGCTCAAATTCAGACTTGTCATTGTCAAGGATGCTGGTTTTTGCTTCGTCTGCAGCAGCGGCATTGTTGATCATTATGTCTTGGCATACTGATTGAGCCAAGTAATCTTGGATATCTGCAATAATGACTTTGGCCCCATGTTTAGTGAACACTCTAGCAATGCACTCTCCAATACCTTGAGCCCCACCAGTGATCAGTGCCACTTTACCTTCCAATCTATAACATATCACAGGGTTTGCACCCAAAAATTAAGCAAGCAATCTATACATATATATATATATATATATATATATATATAGTAATTAAGTTTTTCCATTGTTTAGTATATGTCGAAATTTTACAAATAGGTAAAACCTAACATGAGGTACTATTCTAAGAAAATTATGTACATCTGTATATTAATTTATATGGCGAAGTGATGCATGTGTTAAAAATGGAAGATTAAAACTGTGATTCATTTGGTTAGACCGTAATTTAGAGCAACTTAATTAGTGTATACCTTGGTGCAGCAGAAGAGACTGCGGAAACACCTGCCATGTATATATGGTTGAAATATTGAACAAGACTTGGTTTGAAACTTGCGTGCTGCCAAAAGATTTGATGTCATTTGGCATGATATAGCCTCCTTATACAGGCACACACCAACCAAATTCTACCTACCATTAGTCTTAAATAATTCACCTTTCCTGTTTAGACCATTTGTGGACCAACGCCTCTACTTGCTTTTATACCATCTCTGTAACCATAATTAACATATTTTACACAAGGTCATGAGTTACAGATCACACGATCTTGTCTACGTGATTAAACATTCCACAAGAAGATAACCATATCAAATGCAAATTGTCTGCTAATTAGTGGTCATAAGCAATCAACCGTAACAAAAGAGTTTTTTTTCCCTGTAATTTCCCTAAATCACCATTTTATTAAGCCAGCACAAACAACCAGCAAATTCCTATTAAGAATCTCCATGTCATCAATTTCCCTCTATTTCTTGATTTTTGAATGAGCACTCAAACTAGAGTAGAGCAAGGCTAGCATATCGAGCTCAAGCCATGGATCACTAAGATTAAGAGGAAAAATCCTCAACAAAAGAGACCATGATATATATATATATATATATATATATATATATATATATATATATATATATATCAGCCAAACCAAAGCCAAGCAAAACAACAGCAAGGAACCACTAACAAACAACCAGATAAAAAAAACAGCAAACAAAGCAGAGGTTAATGAATCCCACTGCAGAGACCCGGAAATCATTGCAACCAAATCCTTCAATAAAGATAGAATAACCAGTAGCATCAAGCCACACCACTGACACAAACAAAACATTCCCGCACAACCTGCAAAGCTAAAATAATGCATAAGCCTGACCAACCGCAAAAATAACATGCACCCTGTTAGAACTGCATACGATAATAAAAGAGTTTTATTTTCTGTCAAAGATGTCTTTATCAGACAATATCTCCACAAAAGCAACGAACATCGTCATCACCCATATCATAAAAAGATGAAAAAAGCTAAAATTTTACATTTACCTTGCGTTTGGAGCATCAAAATCGCGCTTTGAATTTGGAATTGGAAGAGAAATTTAGTTCAGTAATTCCCTCCAACAGACCACATTTTTATTTGAGCCTTTCTTCGAACACTTGACAAGCAACTTGAATGGCTCCAAACTTAAGAGTACATATATATATAAGTGTACTACCAACATAAACATCAGAACCATGCCCAAACATCAAAATCTGAGCACGAACTTGATAATGTTGCAGTTCATTCATGATCGAGCATGTCAGTAGCAGACGAAGAAATGGTAAAGTCTAGATTGATTTCAACAAGTTGGTATTCATGAGTAGAGCAACGACAGTACTCTCGAGTACAACTCTTGTTGGACAATGTAACGGCTACAAGTTCGCTCAACTTTGCAGTAGGCAATTCCGTACTCTAATGAATTTATCCAAATTCCTAGTGTTCAGTCAAAAGCACCTACCTTTTTTTTTTTTCATTTATTTATCTAAATAATACATTAGTTTTAATGTGACGACTCTTTTAGAAATACAAAGTGCAGTTGTGATAGCATGATCTTAGCCATTGAATCCGTTGACCTTGCTATGAGATTCACAAGATTCAACTTGCACAGTCACGATTGATAGCACAATCCTTCTTTTAATGTTCTTGTAATGCACTTAGGTAGATTCATGTGCTATTAGGTTTGGTGAGAATAATGTTACTAAAAAAATGAACAGTAGTATTAAGACCTGATAGTCTATTTCAAAAGAGATTATAATGATAAAATTTTTAGAATTCCTGGCTAGACTATTACGCCGGAGAATCATTATAGTCAGGTCAAATATTTGAATTTGACAAAAAGTTTTCTAGTGCTATGGAGGGGGCTTGTTTTATGCTTCAAACCCTTATTTGAATTTGGTTTTGCTCTACAAAAAATGTTTTTGTCAAAAGAGATTCACCATGTTAGTATTTTATGGGGTATCTCTTTATCTAACTAACATGCAAAACATTGAATAATAAAAACTCTCATATTATTCCAACTAGAAAAATGTGTAATTTACTTAACACCCAGATACACAAAAAGGAAAATTGAATATAAGTTGGGGGGAATGAATAATGAAATACACCAACAAAATATTCGGACTGACTCCCACTTACAAGATCATGCGTTAATTCATGAAAATGTTTATTATTGTATTTGCCTTCACCATCTTCCACCTAGGTTCTATAGTTTAGATTCCAAAATGAAGGACTGGTTGGATTTTGCAGGAAGTTGTAAAGATTCCCAATCATCATCATCAACTTTGTCGAAACATTTGGTCAGCATTTCTTCGGTAACAAGCTCGAGCTTTGATGGCTGCCACTGTCACAGAGAAGGGACTCTTATCAGAAATTTTTACCTTCAAGTAATTTCTGATGAATTTGACCAAAAAAATGAAAAGAAAAGCTGGTGGAATAATAATTAAGGTCCACCAATTCGATGAGTGAATTTGAGTCAATATTACTCCAACAGATCTGAAACTTTGTACCATTTTGTATTATTTGTTTTACAAACATGTATATATTTAAAAATGATATTACAATAGAACTCGATTATTATGGTGCACTTGCTTTTATATAAAGAGTATTTTTTATACTTCACATGTAGAAACAACCTTTTACCAAGTGACAAGAAAATATTTCTCTAAGGAGGAAAATCAATAATTTTTAACGCTGGGATCATTTGTTATGATTAATCATTTATGTCAAGCATATTCTACAACATATAACAAGTTTTTTTTTTTTTTTTTTTTAATGTAAAATTGAGTCACCCACCATTTCATTAGTTGATAAGAATTCTAAGTTAATTAGAGTTCTGAAATAATTTAAATCTTCATGAAACAGTGAACCCTCAACTAAATATTATATAGGAAGCAATTTAATTAGTTTTTCTCTTTTGTAAATGTTGGAGTACAAGATTTAAGAGTGCTTGTATAGAACTTCTTTATCCCACATATGGTGTACTAAAAGTATAACTATAAAAAATTCATACGCAGATGAAGTAACATATCAACCGTTTTGGGAAGAGGGATGTTCAAGAAATTGGATTAAAAAAAATGCTCACTTAAGATGAGGACATGATAATAACAATTATATGCCTGTGATGGTTAAAAAAACGAAAAAAAAAAAATCCTATATACCTGGGGATTTTTATTTTTGTCAACTAGCATTGACCTTGAACCCTGCATGCAGAATTTTCCTTGCATTGATTATAAATAAGAAAGTATGATAAAACAAATAAAATGTTATGGTTGAGCCTTCATGGTGACCTCAAAGAAATCGTCGTTGACTGTTCGCCGCAAAATGTGGCAAAAAACATTAAATTCGTGAATAAGACACTGCTCAAGTTTCTGTATCCGACCTTTCCTGATCTAAAAAAACAAGAAATCCTCAGTTAGTCTCTAAGACAGAGTCAATGTCACCGCTTCAGCATAGAAAAATTACTTCGCAAAGGAATAACAAAAATAATAAAGGAAGTTTCAGAAATTAGTAAAGAACATTATATTGACTGTTACCGATCTTAGAGAAAGTTTAAGGCTTGTTGGAGAAGCTGACTTCATATAATTTATTGCCTTGATGATCCATTTTTCTTCCCGGTTTGCTGAAAAATTCTCCTAAAAAAATGCAAATTTTATAAGAACATGAAAAGCAAATTCAGTCATTAGGTATGCCTGACGAATGTATGTTATGCAAAAAGATGTAAATGAAATGATATACTATTTCTTAGTAACTAAACTTACCAATGATAATAAAATTTCTTCAACTGTTTCTCTTGAGAAGCATTCATTGATAATATCCAATCTATTTCACAAATGCACTTGAATGTCAACAAAATACGTACATTAATTTCATGAAAAATTGTAATGTCATAGAACCGTGCAACAAAATATCAAATGCAAATCTTAATAAGACTAGGAAGAACAGAAAGGAAGCAAGTAAATATTAGCTAGTCAAGACAAGCAATGAAATGAATGGCAATCAATCACCTTGAGTATGCGCTATCTTGTTTGATGTGTACTTTGTGAACAAATCTGACAATAATATCAGAAATTGTTGATATATCTGATACATCCAATGAACCCACCACACGTAATGCATTTTCCAATGAAACAAGATCCTAAAAGAATCAAAGCAAGTGGGAATATAATTGTGTTCGGTTAAGAAGGATAGGCAAGCGATCACAGAATATAATTTTGTTCGATTGAGATCATTTTATTTTATTTTGGCCTTTTACATCCTCTACTTTGATCATTATTGGACTATTTCACAAACCATCAGACCTGAAAATTGTATAATTTTGTAGTTTTGCACTGTGTGAATTGTTTATCATCTCCTTTCTTCCAAGTCAAAATAATAAAGCCAAATTTATTAAATTTGCAATATAAATTTCAAAATATTTAATGGATAAAATGAGTACCTTTGCAAGGATGAAATGAGTTGCAAGGCCACATGCTAGCATCTCAGTTCCAACTAACCTGGCTCCAGTCAGCCCCAAATACTCTCCTATACGGTGATTAGCAAGATTTAATTAAGGACGTGTAACAATATGAATTAACATTTCTACCATGTTTGATTATGTAAAAAGTTGTAAATGTGAAAATAGACTAAATCTTTAAAGAAGAATACGAAATTAATAAATGTTACCAAAAAAGCCTGGAAGCCTAGATAGGAAATGTGATGCACCAACATCTGGAAAAAGCCCTATTGACGCTTCTGGCATAGCAAATAACTGTACAAGTGTACATGACAAAGTAATATTTAGTAATTTTTCTTTGTGTAAATATTGCATAGGTACAGGGCACAAACAAACTCACTAATCAATGAAGAGCCAAAGTTTTAGGCTGTGCTTTTTGACATTTCAAAAGAAAACCCGAGGGGCTACAAACTTAAATAAAGAGTTCACAGGAATGCCAGGAAGAATTATGTAATGAATTGTAATCCTGATTTTTCTTTTCATTTAGATTTTAAATTGGTTAGTTTAGAATATCAGTAACTTATATGGAAATAGGTGATTAAATGAAAAATGGTAAAATGAGATGAATTAAAAGGAGCAATTGAGATCTAATGTAACCAAAGAAAAATGAGTAATATTGTCACACGATCATAGTCCTCATAGACAAATCAATTTAAGGAGTTTTTATGTACAGAGTGACGAGAAAAGGGTAGTTAGGTACAGTATTCTCTGTAACAATTCGAAATCTTGAATGCATGGACAGTCCAGCACCTCCACCCATTACAATCCCATTTAAAATTGAAACCTACAGTGATTCAAACATTATCGTGAAAAGGACATTAGTAATCTAAAGGGAAGAAAAAAAACTACTATATATGAGCAACAAATGCCAAATTAAACTTTACCAGGGGTTTTTTATATGTCGCAAGTAAGTAGTCTAAAGTGAGTTGTTTCCTGTAAAAACTTGCAGCAAAGCTCCAGTGTCCTGATTCATTTAAATAATGTAATTTAGGTGAACTGCAAACATTTTTATTTCATCCTTTATGTCGCAACGACTTTTTCTGGTACCATAGAAAATATAAAGGGCATGCACCTATGATCATAAAGGCTCACCACAAGAATTATAGAGATCATGATTTTGATTTTCTTGATATGCATAGTTAGGCAATTTGTAACTGTTTCGGAGGCTTAAATAGTAGCTTAACAAGGAAGTATTTACCTAAAAGGGCAAACGTAGTGCACGAGATTCCCACTATTGTGGGGTCTGGGGAGGAAGTATTAAGAATGAAGTATTTACCTGCAGTTGTAAAATTATATACGGCAAGAACATCACCACCGGCAGAAAATGCTCTTCCATTTCCCTGTATTTTGAAGTATCGAACAAGAAGATATCAGACAAAAAATATTCCTAAAAAAAAAGGTTTAAATATTTACAATAATTAATGCATCTGTCCAACAATAAAAGGAATAAATTCATTTGGTGAATAAGGCACTATCTGATAGAAAGGGCTCAAATTATTGATTTAATTTACCAAATAATGCAAAATATAGAAAAAAGTTGTCTCCAGAATCATTTTACTAGACATTTGCAGTTCAAGTAGAACGCATTGACCTTGAAAATGGTTATTTGTCTTCCCCTAGTAGACCTTTGTCTTTCCCAGCAATAAGATATTCAATAGTAAAGCCAAAGCCCAAAGCTAATAGGAATGAAGGGTGATTCTTAGAATAAGCTCGACATCACAGATAATAGCACTAGAGACACATCATTCATGCACAGACATAACAAGCATAATTGCTAAGTTATACAAAGTGATCCACATAGACTATCACATTTTCTATAATCAAATAGAGAATAATAAAACCAAAAGCTAATGCTAAGTTTCAAGAACTCATTGCAAAGTTATCTTAAAAGCATTTATACAAACAGTTTCAGTCACTCACACATCAATGAATCACCTCAGTTTAAAAATTCTATAAATCAGGAGGAAAAAAAAAAAAAAAAAAAACAAATTCTGATTTTACTTCAGAATTCACATCTGCTACCAGTAAAGAGAGAGTACAACACAATTTTGTGTCAGATTTAAGGATTAAATGCAGAAAACACCTCTATATTATAGATATTCTAATACATTTGATCAATTGTTGTATCTTACTGCCTTTTGTTAAAGAAGAGTCGTTAAAGTAATGATCGGCTCAATTGCACCAGCACCTGCGGCCAATACCACCAGCACAACGCCACCTACCTCTTGTCCCACCTCCAATCAGAGACCGGCGTCAAGTACCTAGTAAGATGACATTGATGCCATTGACATACTTTTGGTGGCCGGCGTTGACAATCAGAGACCATAGTTGATGCTAACCAATTATCCGGACTCATATTCCCTTTCACTCCGCTTCCGAGTGTATTAATTCCATTAAAGTTCGTGATCTTCGGTATTGATGGCCAACTTGGGGTTCGTCGCGAGAGAGAATACAAAGAAAACAGAGAAAGATTTAAAAAAAAAAAAAAAAAAGAAGGCTAAATTTCAGCAAGAGATCATATTAATCTTTGGTCACGAAACTCTTCCCTTATTAAAAGGGAGTAGCTCACGAACTATTAAAGTTCTCTAGCTACTACTAGGAACATTTATTAAATGGGTGAGCTAATGAAGTTTGGGACTAATGTCCCCTTACTAAAGGGATCCTTGTACTAAAAGGGCAATTGAGTTAAGCCAGTAATTGTTATCCCATATTAAAGGTGGGCTGAGTGAAGCCTGAGGTGCACCACATTCCACTTACTAAAAGGGTGCGAATCACATTCCTTATCAAGGGACGAAACTACTACCTCCCCTATTAAAAGGTTAAGACATTAACAATCAAACATATTTCGCCCGCCACACAACCCAACAATACAATAACGGATATATTGGAACATCCTTGGGAGACAACAAAGCCAATAAGATAATACTTCCAAAGTTTCAAACACCATTGAATTGATGGAATTTTCTATTCTTTAGAACTTTATAAAATAAAAAAAAAAAAAGCTCTATAAAAAGAAGCTCACAAAAAGAAAGTAAGAAAATAGAGTATATATGACATTCTCGATGCTTAAGCTTACAAGGTGAATAGGCAAATTAACCCTAGCCCAATAAGGTCCAACCCACAAGGGCCTAACATCACTGGTCAGTCAAAGAGGGAACCGGGAACCGTCCAAGCCCATATTATTAATACTGAGAATCAGGCCCAAAAGGGCTTGAGCCCACATAGCCCAAGGCGTAGATGTCAAGAAAGACAGTTAGGGCAAGAAAGGGAAGTATCGGAAAAAAAAAAAAACAAAAAAGAGAGGAGAGGAATAGGAGGGATCTTTTTTGGGTGATATTTTGTACCTACAACTTAATTGGTGCCGTCTGTGGGGAAGCGCTTGACTATAGGCTCAACCTCGGTGGGAATTCGACCAAGAAGATCGGTCAGGCGAACCGTTCGACATTAACAGCCTTCAGCTTCTCCTCAACTTCAAGCATCGCACCACTTTCTCAATTTCCTTTGCCCCGATCGCCTCATCCTTCTCCCTCAGAACTTTGTCATGTTGAGCCTTAGCTTTTCCCAAGTTAGTAGAAAGCTTAAGGTTGGTTTTACGTAGGGAATGGATCTTGTGATCCCTAGACTCAATGGCCCTCTGCATAGCCGTCATCCCGAACATTGTCAGCATAACCAATATACCATTCTAGGTTACGTTTTATGTGAATAACCCATCTGACAAAGGAATATGACAAGAATAAAAAGATTTTCGGGACAAGTTACCTCCATGGCATTAATTGGGAAGCGAGTGAATAAATCTTCTACATGTCTTGTATCTGTCGATCCTTTAGAGTCCACTGATTGTTGTAGTAGGACATGGCAATGTCCCCATGCCTGAACATGGTATCCAGGGGGTCGCCATAACATTCTCACCCTGCCCACTCGTTTTGGAGAACTTCGGACTGCAAACAGAAATGGGCACGTTAAACCCCTCAGGGCCAGTCGTCTGGGTCTAATTAGATGTACCAGAAGCAAAACTGGCCAATCAAAGCCTTCTTCTGGGGACACCATCCTCTTGGTTAATAGCAGGTCTCTTCCCAAGAGATGTGTCCAGCGCTGAGGATTGAACCTCTGAAAGCTGTTGCACCCCAGCCACCTACTAGGTCTGGGCACCTTGGCTGTATTGGGTGTCAGCTGGGTGCCTACCAAATGAGGGAAGTTGAAGAGGGCCCATTTGTATAGCCTCAAAAGAAACGTTATTAAGTCGTTTGGGAATTAATATATGAGGACTAGATGGAATGTTATTCCACAGTTCTGCTTCAAATATCTAAGTCTACTCGAACAGATTGAATAGTCAAGAAGCTCGAAGGGAATGTCCAGAAACTGGTAAATGAACTCGTAGAAGCGAGGGAGACAGTATTCACATATACATTCGTATTTATGTTTTTTTTGTAAAAGGGCTATTGAGAAAGGGCACATTTCCCAAACTCGGTGGGGATCACGGCGAAATCTGCTACCTTCGAGTTTCCACCAACCACTACCATCTCATCCCTTCAACCCTTCTGAGAATTAGGATTACCCTTGCAAAATGAACGGCCTAGGATTGGAAAAAAGTGGTACCGAAAGTCATTTCCCCGTGAATGCCTAGTATAACGTGTCTTTGCTACTTTATGGCAAAAGAACAAGTCAACAATGGTAAGGTCTAACTTACGACTGTGGTTCAAGGCCAGAAGGACAGAGACAACCCTAAAGAAATTTGGGTTAACTTGCAATGGGGAGAGGTTTAATTTGTTCAGTACTAGATGGTACACATGGTGCAAGGGAAACCTAAGTACCTAATTTGACACCGTTCACGTAGAACGTCTATGTTAACTGATATGGTCAAAGATAAAGAAGAAAACGAAGCCAAGGAAGCAGATTAAGAGGAGAAAGACTACTAGAAAAAGATGAAATCACGCTGGTGAACTTGCTGAGAAGAAAAAGTAACCGGAGATAGGAGAGTAATGGTTGATGGATTGATGTGAGCCTTTAGTCAATTGCAAATACGATAGTTGCAGAAGAAAAAAGTGAAAAGAAGGGAAAAGTATATAAAGATAAATGAGAGGCCACAATCGAGAAGCTGAACAACCAAAGCATTTATGACAGCACAAGACACAAAGGACACGCGCCGCACCAGGCACCTCGTGGCTGTAACTTCGTTATAATTATACGATTAACCCATTGATTTTATGCAGCTGCCTCACACCAGTGAGGGACAATTGTAGGGGCAAGATGAAGGGGTAGATTAACCCTAACCCAATAAGGTCTAACCCACAAGGCCCAACATTGCTGATCAATCAAAGAGGGAACCATCCAAGCTCACATCATTAATAAAGAGAATCAGGCCCAAATGGGCTTGAGCCCACATAGCCCAAGGCGTAGATGTCAAGAAAGACAGTTAGGGTAAGAAAGGGAAGGATCTATAAATAGAAAGAGGAGAGGAAATATGAGGGATTTTTTTTGGGTGATATTTTGTAGGGGAGGGGGGAACTAACAAGGATATTTTGAAATAGGTATTACAGATAGACGGTCTAGGTAATTAAAAAATATGATAAGAAAGAGACGGTTCAAGATTCAAATGGAATTATTACTATGATTTAATGATCTCGTCTCCCAAAATGGCTCTTGAGATAATGACATAAGTTAGAGAAGATGGCACGACATCCAAAAAAATCTCACTCATAACCAAATACAGTAAATGAGATAGGTGAAAATTATATAGACAAATTCAATACTCCATTTGTTATGCCCACAAAAAATTACCTAGCATAAATTTTGCAACGTACACATGTACCTGGAGGAGAAGAAGGGAAATAAAACTTACCTTTGGCTTTGGCATTATTTGAGAATATTGAAAAAAAACTTTACTATTTAAGTTTTGGTTTTCAGTTGTGATTTTCATTTTTATTTTATTTTATAAAACATAGTAACAAAATCCGTTTGGTAATTATATATTGACTTTTCACAATTCAAAGTTTTTGAAAACTAGTTGTCATTCCCTTCAATTTTCAGAACTCTAAAATGAAGCTTTGGTTTTCAAATACTGTTATTATTATTTTTCATAATTAGAGAAATGTTATTTTATCAATTTTCAATTATACTCGAATAGTAAAATATTTTTTTTAATATTTTATTATACTCAAATAGTAAAATTAAAATGTTATTTTATAATTTTTCAATTATACTCAAATAGTAAATAAAATTTTAAAAAGATATATTTTATGATACTCGAATAGTAAAATTAAAAATGTTATTTTATTATTTTTAATTGTACTCAAATAGTAAATAAAATATTATTTTATTAATTTTCAATTATACTCGAATAGTAAATAAACTTTAAAAAATTTATTTTATTATACTCAAATAGTAAAATTAAAAATGCTATTTATTACTTTATTAATTTTCAATTATACTCGAATAGTAAATAAATTATTATTTTATTGCTCAATTATATTCAAATAGTAAATAAAATAAAAAATATATACTCGAATAGTAAATTTAAAAATATTATTTTATTATTTATCAATTCTACTCAAATAATAAATTAAAGAGTCAATTTTTAAAAAAAAAAAAAATTACCAAACATATTTTCTCTTTTGCTTTTCAAAAATTCAACAGCAGATATTGTACATAAAAATGACAGAACAATCTTTCAAAACTTACCATTTTCACATAAATAAAAGTACAATCAAAAATAAAAACTACAGCTTTACCAAGCATGCCCTTAGTATTATTTTATACTATATGGTGATTGATTTTAGAGTCTAGCTCATGGAGAAATTCTCTTCCTGGCACACGAGAGTGAATTACTCGATAATACACTTCTTAAAGTATTAAAGTTTTTTCCCAACTCAATCGGAATTGTCTGTTCAATTTTATTTATTTTTATTTTTTCAATTGAACCTCAAACTTGAATTATAAAGTTTATGGGTAATCAAAGTTCTTACTAGTTATTTCATGCAACATTAATTCTGACCTCCTAGTTGAAAATATGCCAACAAAAAAATGGAAAAAGGAAAAATAATCATTGGTACATTGTTTTTATACTTCCTTACCTTTAAAATCACGAGTTTGACCATAGGATCGTTCTCATACACTTTGAACTTCTTTAACATCTCCACAATCTGCAAATGATCACAGATTTATATATCGCCAATTAGTTATTGCATTTCATATATAGTTGGTCGTATCTGTTCTGTCATTATATATATATATATATATAAGAGCAACAGAATTAAGCATGGAATCAAACAGTTTGGCCATACCATTTCATAGGTGAGGGAATTCAATTTCTTAGGTCTATTTAGTATCACTTTTCTCACACCTGCATTTTCTTCAACAAGCACCTGATCGATCAAAAATTAAGATGGTTACATATCAAATATATTAATCTTGATCAACTACTCAGAATATGATGTGCGCAGCTATAATTTCTGATGCCGTTTTAGCTTAAAAGATGGCTCAAAAGCCTCAAATTTTGGGTAATGGCTCAGTTTAGAATCCTTCTTCTTCTTTTCTAATTTGTTTATTTTAAATATTTATCTATTTCTTTCATAAATCACCTTCATATTTCGCTAGTACATATATATTACAAAAAATGACGGTGGCACAGTATGTACGTATATCAGGCGGTTATGTGTTCAAACTTAACCATCAGGGTGATAATCAAAATTGAAATGACTGTTGGACAAAAGAGAGTCGCTCATGAAGTGATAAAGTCATGTATTCAAACCTCACCATTATGAAAAAAAAAAATACGAAATAAAAAGCTACATGTGTGGAGATAAGCTGAGATATTTGTGTAATAAAATTACACTCTATCAAACTTCTTAAGCTTTTTGAATACATGTTGGTCTAAAAGTTGCAAGTTTTATTCACTCAATTTATAAGAAAAAAATCATCGTGACCATATATATATAATGCGGTTTAAATTGAGAATGTAAGTACTCATTATAAAAACACTTATGCAATGCAATTGTTTCAATCAAAGACCTTTGGCCTAATGATATAACTTTTTATGAATGGGGAGGGTCCGAATTCAGGCATGGGCAAAAAGGCATGCTTGTCTCCTTTACCATTAATAAAAAAGAAAAAAAAAATTGTTTCAAGAATGACGCGAGTGTAAGATATGAAAGTTTTTGAAATTCGTACAGTTTCCCCAAGCATGCTCGACATGACGATAATGAACTTGAAAAATAGAACTTCTCTGCCCAACAAGAGATTGAAAAATAGAACTTCTCTGCCCAACAAGAGACTGATTACTGATTGTTTTCTTGGGTCTACGAAGAGGCTAAAATGATTCTAAGGATTATGCAAGGCAATTAGATGGGTATCTAACCACACATATATCTATATATATATATATATAAATTCATCGATAGATTCGATACACAAAGTTGGGTGGGTGAAGTGGTAGGGACGTTGAGAAAAAAAAAAAATAAATAAATAAATAAAGTGGTAGGGACGCATGTGGTGGAATATCCGGCCCATAAATTATTATTTTTATACGTAGCAAAATTTTTTACTTAAATTACTTAAATTATGATGCCATGTGGTGCCCATCTTATGACGTCTCATCTTGTGATGTCATTTAAATTAACTACCTCTGCGGCATGACGACATTGACAAGGATTCGAAAGGTAAATTTTTGAGGTCTCGTTTTCGAATTACACTCTTGACTTGAATGGTACGTGTGTTTTAGAATCGATACATAAGTTCTAAGAGGGAAAAAAAAAAAAAATTAAGTACGGGAAGGGATTCAATTTAGCAAGTGCTCATCTTATTTTATTGGGAAAAAAAAAAACCTAAAAATTAGGAAGGGCGATCATTGTTGAGAAAATTAAGAGAAGAGAGACCGGTATATGAACACATGGAGCAAGCACTCTACCAATTAAGTTTTAGAGGTGCTCCATGTCGAATTCGAATGGAAAATAAAATGGGTATAAATAAGAGTTATTCAATGCTTTAATACCCGATAACTTTAAGCTTTTGAATTAGCAGGCAATCTTCGATATCACTGATATAGCATCCGATATCAAGTTAAGCGTCCGGTCCGAAAGAGTCCGAATTGTCACTTCGGGTAAATAGGGTGATTCGACTTTGACAAGGACGTTACTTGTTCGAATGATAAAAAATTTTAATTGTATCACACATTCCCGCTCCATAAATCTCCTTAGGCATTCCAACTTATGCCCTTAAAAATTTAATAACTAAACTACCCCTCTTATTTTCTAATTCAAGTAAAAAATCTACAAACACTTTGTTTATATGAATTGAACAACTAATAGTGGATTCTGATAACTATAGATGCCTTCAAGGGTGTTATTGGTGGGTGCAATGTCCCAATCCTCGATTTTGATTAAAACTTTGTACTGTTGATTTAATTTTTCACTGATTGCAATGGGTCTTTGATTATTATTGTATTTAGTGCTCTTTCATGGATGGGCATGCAAGATTGCTTGATTTGATGTGGCATGTAAAGTTTTTATTTGTGTGTGAGAAATTTAATCGAATAAGAGATGCGAATAAACAATAAGAAGTCCTACAAAGAAAAGGACAATCGGGTCATTTTCTTTTACAAATAAAAAAGAGTTGATGTGCAAGTTGGAGTGCATATTTTAATCAAATGCAAATGACATCCTAATTAGTAGTCACAAAAGGTGGGCAGTGCTTAGCATCATTTAATTATACAATTATGTGACAATTAGAAAATTTTAAAAATACTACTAGAAACTAATGGCGTTTTGTGTGTACATTCAAAACTGAAGTCAACAGAGATTGAGAAATCATACAACCTAGCTGTATCATAAAATTTTAAATAATAACTATATCACAGATTTAACAATTTATAAATAATAATAAATTTCCTAGCTTTTTCTTCTTCTTCTTTTTATTTTTTATTTTTTAAGTGATTACATTATGAAAACTCATAACGTTCGACAAATGTATATATGCGAGAGTTGGATGTTATATCATTTTCTTACTTAGTAAATTATATCAGATTAGTTATATGTCTTCTCTTTATTTTTCTATAATTAATAGTTATATTCGCTGTAAATAAATTGTTTAGTTTGATTTAGCCTTCCATTTTTTTTTTTTTAACCAAAATCTTAATTAAAGAAAAAACAAGTTTGTTTTTATTAAAGAAAGATCACCAACAACTTAATTAAATAAACAACCTAGCCTAGCTATATCATAAATGTTAAATATTAATTATAGCATTGATTTAACAATTTCTAAATAATAATAACTTTCCTAGCTTTTTCTTTATTTTTTTCTTTCTGTATTATTATTATTATTATTATTATTATTAATATTTCTAATGGCGTTGGTTTGCTATGATCACATAGGACAATTGAGAGTGGCGAATCCAGTCACCAATGCTGAAAACCTCTGGTGCCAGATTAATAATTTTATTAATTATTCAACACATTATGAAGACTCGTGATATAACATCTCACAATCAGGTTCGTCTGATCTGACAATAGAATATGGACGCTATATCATTTTTTTACTATTAAATTAAATCAAATTAATCATATCATCTGTTTTTTATTCTTTATATAATCAATTGTCATACTCATCAAAACATGCAAATTGTTTAGTTTGATAGAAACATCTTAATTAAAGAAAAAAAAAAGTTTTTTTTTTTTTTTGTAATTAAAATAAAGATCAAGTTGTTGGTTCGATCCACCAACAACTCAATTAAAGAAAGAACAAGTTTGTTTTAATTAATGCTATGTTCTAGGAAAGAAAAAAAATTGAATGAAAGGGAGGAAAGAAGGGATGAATTAGACATCTTTAGAGAAAAAATTATGTATTTTTTTCTATTTGTTTGGTTGAATAGAAGAAAAGAGAATAAACTAATAATTTATTATGTTTGTTAAAAAAGGACTGATGAAAATTTATAAAGAAGAAAGGATGTGTCATCCACATCCTTTATATTTTCTCTCTACGCCCCTTTCTTTCTTGTATCAACTCTACGGACAAAAATAGTTGGTTCTTTTCTTCTTATTTTTTCTCTACACCCGTACCTTCCTTCCTTCCAATAAGTATAATGAAAGAACAAGTTTGAAGGAAAAAACTGTTGGGATTTATATGTCCTGACATAGCAAATTCCTATCTGGATTATAATGATATATATTCCTGACATATCTGAAATATTTATGATTTATATAATTGGTGAATTCAATGTATTATGTTTCGATTTACTATGAAATTGATAGTGTCTATGTAATTACAAGAAATATTTATATATATGTATGTGATGGCAATCAATGCATGATATATAAATAGTAATTATAAATTGTTCATAGTCGGTAATTATGGATGGACTCATAATTAATTAAGACTTGAACTGGATCCGCGTTAGGTTGAAATATATTGCGAGAGCCGTCGTATGCAATTACTCCCTATCACCGTCATGGTATTTGACTCTTAAGCATGAGAAAAGTATAGACTCTTTTATTAATTAATAATTACTTTGATTTGTTCGGCGGATTCTTCGGGATCCTTAGATCGACACTTTGGGTAGTTATGTAATTAATAGTTAGAGGGTTATATTTTCAATATTTGCATCATTGCTACTTGTATTTATTTTGTATTGATTATGGTTGATCACAAAGTAAATTCGAAGGCCTTCGTGTGTTTTTAGACAAAATGATTTATTATATATTTATTTATTTAAATTATTATTTTTGTCAAACAAATGTTTTATTGTGATCAAGCCAGAAATAATCAGAGGTACCAAAATATATATATTAATTAAGTAGTCGGATTGATGGCTTTATTTATCCGATAACTAATTATGCATAGAGGGGTCAAAGTGCAATATTGACTTAGAGGTTATTTATTATTTCATTGGAGTTCAATTAATTTCTTTTAGTGGAGTAGAAATTAATTTATGAATTAATTGAATTGGGTCCATGGACCGGGCCAATTATTAATTCATTGTAGCCAATAAAATAATAGGCCCAATGGATTCTCACTCATAGCCCAACTTGATATTGGAATCATATTAGATTTGAGACATATGAATTAGAGATGGAAAATGATTTGTTGTTTCCTTTTCTTTATTTTTATGTTGCCTATAAATATACATGGTCTTTGTATATTTTAGGGGATGATTTTTAATGAGAAGGAAAAAGAAATTTATTTTTTCTGTCTAGAAAATTAGGGTTTATGTTCTCATCTAATGGAGGCTCCCACAAGCCTAGTTTTCCAAGGTCATTCATGGAGGCATATGAGTGATTCCTAAAGGCAAAACAATTATCAAGAAGAAGGAGATCCAAGAAGAATGCATCTTACTAAGGGATCTACAATAAGTGAGAACATTCACTTTAGAGGAGAGATCTAAGGTTTACTCAAACCTTAATGTAAGTATTCAATCTTTTAATTGAATGACACATCATGTTTTATTTTTGCATAAAACTTGTCTCTATGTAATGAATCAAGATCTATAAATTTAAATCCCTCAAAAAGTTTTTAAAACTAGCACGTTTCCCAACAGTGGTATCAGAGCATGGTTTGATTCATTACTAGAGATCATGATTTTATGAAAATCATCATT